TGTTTTGTGGACAGAATTGTAATTCTGTTTCTTCGCTGCCTCCTTTCTTGTACATGTAAACCAGTGGCTGATCTGGTTTTGATTTTTGTGGCTGGCATGAGGTAGGGATTACATTTCTTGTTTTTATATGGAAAACTTCTAGCCCCAGTACCATTTACCAAATAACTCATCTTCTAGCCCCTACTGCTCCCATCAGCACCATGTTTTCTCACTCTTAGCAAGTTTGCCTGTGTGCCCAGATCTATTTCTGGGGTCTCTAGTCTCATTCTGTTGGCCTGTGGCTGTGTTCTGTTCCAACTATAGCTTTATAATCAGTGTCGACATGGCAGTCAGATTCTCCCACTTTATTCTTCTCTAGGAGCATCTTTGTTCTTCCATACAAATTTTAGAGTCATCTTCCCAGAGCCTCAAGTGTATTAGGGAAGCACTTAAGCCATACCCCATTCCCCACTATGCTATTTTCATGCTCACCCCAATTACTCTCTCCTTTCCTCCCTTCCATTGGTTTCTCCCCCAAGCAATCCCCCTTTTACAATCATGTCATATTACTATTTTTTAAAGATCTAGACTCTGCATATGAGAGAAAACGTGATATTTAGCTTTGAACTTGACTTATCTCACTGAACATGATGATCTCCAGTTCCACCGGTTTTCTTGCAAGCAATAATTTCATTCTTTATAGCTGAATAATACTCCATTGTATATATGTGCCACATTTTTTTAATCTGTTCATTAGTTGTTGAACACCTAAGCTAATTCTATAGCTTAGCTGTTGTGACTCTTGCTATGATAAGTATGGGTGTGCAGGTGTCTCTATTGTATGATGACTTACATTCTTCTGGATATATACCCAAGAATGGTATGCCAGTTTCATATGGTGTTTCTATAGTTAGTTTGTTTTGTTTTGTTTTTTGCTGTACTGGGTTTGAACCCAGGGCCTCACACTTTCTAGGCAGGTGCTCTTCCACTTGAGCCACACCTCCCGTCCTTTTTGATCTGTTTATTTTTGAGACTGTTATTTTTTAGGGTCTCGTTTTATGCCCAGGCTAGCCTGGACTGCAATCCTCCTATTTATGCTTCCTGCAGTAGCTGGGATGACAGGCAAGAATGCCACTGTGCCCAGCTATTGATTGGGATGGAGCCTCTTGAACTTTTTTCTGGGGTTGTCCTCAAACTACAATCCCCAAGTAGTTAGGATCACAGGTGTGAGCCACCAGTGCCCAGCGTATGTTTTTTGGTTTTTTGGATGGGTGGGTACAGTACTGGGGCCTCATGCCTGCTTCAGCCACTTTGTTGTCCAGCTTATTTTTAGTTTTTTGAAGAACCTATACTGATTTCCATATGGCCGCACTAATTTACATTCCCCCCAACAGTAGGTAAGGGCTCCTTCTCCACACCCCATTCTCCTAGTGCTAGCATTTGTTGTTTGTTTTCTTGATGATGGCCATTCTGACTGGGTGAGATTTTGATTTGCATTCCTCTTGTGGCTAAGGATGCTGAACATTTCTTCAGGTATCCGTTTGTCGTTTGTGCTTCTTTTGCAAACTGTTCAGTTCATTTGTGCATTTGTTAATTGGATTATTCTTTTGGTGCTTTACTTTTCAAGCTCTTTATATATTCTGGATATTAATCCTTTGTCCTATGAATAGCTTGCAAAGATTTTCTCCCAGTCTGTGGGTGATCTCTTCATTCTGGTAATTGTTTCCTTTGACGTGCAGAAGCTTTTTAATTTGACGCAATCCCGTTTGTCTATTCTTGCCCTTATTTCCTGAGGTATTAGAGTCCTATTCAGAAAGTCGTTGTCTGTGCCTGTCTCTTCAAGTGTTTTTCCATAGTTGTTCCTAAGTTTCATTAAGATCTTTAATCCATTTTTAAATTTATTTTTGTATAAGGTAAGAGAGAGGGGTCTAGTTTCAGTCTTTTACATGTTGGATATCCAGTTTTCTCTTCAGAATTGTCTTCAACCATTTGTTGAAGAGACTGTCTTTTTTCCAACATGTTTTTGGCTCCTTTGTTGAAAATCAGATGGCTGTAACTCTGGGTTTATTTTTGGATCTTCTATTCCACTGGTCTACAAGTCAGTTTTTGGGTCAGTACCATGCTGTTTTTGTAACTGTGGCTCCATAGTATAATTTGAAGTCAGGTATTGTGATACCTGTAGTATTACTCTTTTTGCTCGGGACTACTTTTGCTATTGTGGGCCTTTTATGCTTCCATGTGAATTTTAGGATTGTTTTCTATACCTGTGAGGAATGACATTGGGTTTTTGATGGGAATTGCATTGAATGTGTAGATTGCTTCCAGTAGTATAGCTATGAACATAGGAGGTCTTTCCATCTTCTAATGTTTTCCTTAATTTCTTTCTCCAAGGTTTTATAGTTTTCACTATAGAGATATTTCATTTCTTTAGTTAAGCTTATTCCTATGGTTTTGTTGTTGTATTGAGGCTATGTGAATGGGATTGTTTTCCTGATTTCTTTCTCAGTGTGTTCACTGTTGGTATATAGAAAAGCCTACTGAATTTTATATGTTGATTTTGTATCTGCTACTTTGCCAAATGTATCAATCTAAGGGTCTTTTTGAGTATAGGATCATATCTGTAAATAGGGATAATTTATTTAAGTCTGATTCTTCTTACTGCCTTTTTTGCTGGCTCTGGCTTCATATTGCTTGTGTCCTTATATGTTGTGATTTAAAAAAACTATTACCTTATTTATTTTCCTCAACTTTATTTTGGAAATTTTTTGAGACCTGGTTTGAAGATACTTTCTTTTTCCTCTCCTCTCCTCCCCTCCCCTCCCCTCTTCTTCTCTCCCCTCCCCTCCCCTCTTCCCTCTTCCCTCTCCCTTCTTCCCTTTCCTCTCTCCTTTCTATTTTTTTGAGACAAGATGACCTGGAACTCACTTTGTAGCCAGACTGGCCTTGAACTCACTCTGTAGCCAGACTGACCTTGAACTCGTGATCCCCCACCTTAGCCTCCCAAGTGCTGGAATTACAGGCATGAATACCACTCCCAGTTAAAGTTGTTTTCCTCCAAAGAGGATTTGCATTTCCTTCTGCCAACCCAGAAGCACTTTAAATTGAATGTTTGGCTACAGGGTTTTCTGCCCACACAGGTACCCATGAATTCAGAGGACAAACCACAGGACTGTCAGACCTGAGGTGGAACCCTCTCTGGGTCACTCCTCACTCTGTGTGACCTCAGGCAAGTCATTTAATTTGCCTACATCTGCCCTATCATCTGTGAAATACTGATCATAGTATCTACAGCCTACAGCTATTGCAGGGCTGAAATGGAATAGTGGACATAAATAGAATGCTCACATGGGGTTCTTCCATGTAGCTGGCGGTCAGCGAATACCATTCTCTTGCCTTCAGTAAACCCCCTACACTAGCTAGTGGGAACAGCCTGGTGGCAGCCCCAGCCTTAGTGAGTTATATTGGAAGCGAACGCTTCGCCCTCACTCCTCTGCCTGCAGCTTTGAGATGTTTAGCCTCCAGATGCCCTAAGAGACGAGAGTCTTGACTGTAGTCTGTAGTTGTCTTAGAAGTTATTTGGAGCTGGGTAACAAGAAAAATGACGTGTGACAAAAATGTTTGCATCTTCAGATGCTTCAGGAATTGGTTGGTTATGATTTTTTTTAATTTTTAAATTGGATTAGGGATATAGCTCAGTAGTAGAGCAGTTGCCTAGCATTGCAATAGGAATTGATCCTGGGTTCAATTCCAGCACCACTAACATACACAGAAAATTTGGCCAGGCTTGATGGTGTAGACGTGTAATCTCAGCACTTAGGAGGCTGAGACATTAGGACCCTGTTCAAGGCCATCCTAGGGTACATAGCAAAACCCTGTCTCAACAAATGAACAAAACAGCTGGGTGCTGATGGCTCACACCCGTAATCTAGCTACTTGGGAGACAGAGATCAGGAGGATTGAGGTTCAAGGCCATCTCAGGTGAAAAGTGAGACACTATCTCAAAAATATCCAAACATAAAAAAGGGTTGGAGGAGTAGCTCAAGTGGTGGAGTGCCTGCCCAGCAAGTGTGAGGCCCTGAGTTCACACCCCAGTACTGCATCCCCCCTCAAAAAAAATTTTAACAAAAAAAAAGTTGTGCAGATAATTCCTAGTTCCTGACTTGAGACTTTTCAGCTTGCTGAGGATGCAAAACCCATACACATTTAGTAGGAACCACATCTCCAATTTTGAATTTTGGTGGTGTGCAGTGGCTCAGGGCTATAATCCTAGCTACTTGGAATGTGGAGATTGGGAGGATCATGGTTGTTTGGGGCCGGTGGCCAGCGGGGGAGGGTTTTCAAGAAACCCCATCTCATCTAATGGCTGGGTGAGGTAGTGCATACCTATTATCCTCAGCTATGCTGGGAAGTACCAAATAGGAGGATTGAGGTCTGGATCTGCCAGAGCATAAAGCAACACCCTATCTCAAAAGTAACCGACACAAAAAGGACTGGAGGCATGGTGCAAGTGGTAGAGTGCCTGTCTGGAAAGCACTAGCTAGACCCTGAGTTTAATCCCTACTACTGTCAAAAAATTGTTTTTGAATTTCAGTCTTTTTCCCAGCTAGCAATATGTAGTATGACCTTCTCAATGCCAAGCAACCACAAACTTGTCAGGTACGCAATCATGAGAAACAACTGATAGACTCTTCAGTGTGCTGTGTTACTAAGATGTGATTGATGTTCCATAGGTTAGGTGCACTAAACTCAATTTTGACTTAGGATGTTTTCAATTTATGATGTGTTCATCAGTACATGACCCCATTGTAAATTGAGGTACATCTCTATAGACCTTGCTGACAGAGTTATTTTATATTCCTAGGTTGGGATTCCAGACTCTTCCCTGTTATTTAGGAAGGGGTCCAGATACCTAAATACACTGCAGTGGGGGCCTGGCCTGGGGAGGCAAGGGGCTGGGGTGATGGCAGATTGCAGCCTGAGTGACTTTAGAGATTCTGAGTCTCTTCCTCTATTCTGTCCAGGACGTAATGAACCCCTGAAGAAGGAGCGGCTCAAGTGGAAGAGCGACTACCCCATGACTGATGGGCAGCTACGGAGCAAGCGGGACGAGTTCTGGGACACTGCACCTGCCTTCGAGGGCCGCAAGGAGATCTGGGATGCCCTCAAGGCCGCCGCCTACGCAGCTGAGGCCAACGACCATGAGCTGGCTCAGGCCATCCTGGACGGAGCCAGCATCACCCTCCCTCATGGTGAGCAGGCTTTCTTCCAGCCCAGTTTAGGGGTGGTGAAGAACCAGTGGCCAGCCACATGTCAGGAGTTTCTGACCGTGCTGCGGGATGTGGTGCAGTGTGTATGTGGCTATTCACTTGCTCTTTGGAGGACTGCAGGTGTGGCTCATGTGGTAGAGCTCCTGCCTAGCAACAAGCAGGAGGCCCTGAATTCAAACCACCAAAGGAAAAAAAAGATTCCTCCACTTACTTGCTCATTCAAGCAGCCCTTTCTGACCATGGACTATGAGGGACACACACAAAAAAACATGAGACAGTCCCCACTTGCATAATGGAAGGAAGGACAGAAAGACACCAGCAGACGTGTGAGCAAAAGACTCACTTAGGGCACTTGAGGTCCCAGTACATCTGAGGCACTGATCTGCTATTGGATTATCTGTGCTGGGTACTGAACTAGAAGTTTATACCAAATTGGCTAAGTTCATAGCAGCCTTATGGGTGGTGGAAAACAGAGTAAAGATGGAACTCTGGGGTCATAAGTTAAGTCTTAACTGTTGTCCTTCCAGCTGGTGACCTTTCCCAGCTTTGTGACCTTGAGCAAGGCACTTCTCACATCAGAGCCTGAGCCCTTTGTAACCTTAAAGGGAGACGACTGTTAGGATCACCTGGTCCCAAGCACTTAGGAGGTATTTAGGACTTAGTAAATGTATTCCTACCTGCATTACATTGCACCAGTAAGGAAACTGGCCCAGCTCATGTGTGTTCAACAGAGCTGTTGAATGAACAGATGAAAAGTAATGGGCCAGAGCTGATGGAGCCAGGATGTCAGCCCAGGTCTTCCCAACTCCAGCCCTATGCACTTTTGGTCATAAGGCTGTCACAGGAACACCTATGGGGTGAGTCTGGAGACTGTGGGGTGCCATTAACCTGCTATAACAAAGTACCACAGACTTGGTGCCTTAAAAAACAGAAATTTGTTTCTCACAGTTCTGGAGGCTGGGAAATCCAAGATCAAGGTGATGGCTGGTTTAGTTTCTGGTGAGGGTTCTCTTCCTGTCTAGAAGATGGCCACCTTCTTGCTATGTTCTCACATGGCAGGAAGAGAGGAAGAGAGAGAGAGCACTCTCTGGTGTCTCTCTCTTCCCCCAACCTCTGCCCCAATACTGGAACTTGAACTCAGGGCCTATACCTTGAGCCACTCCACCAGCCCTTTTTTGTGATTTTTTTTTTCAAGATAGGGTCTCATGAACTATTTGTCCAGGCTGGCTTTGAACCACAATCATCCTGATCTCTTCCTCCTGAGTAGCTAGGATTACAGATGTGAGCCACCTTGCACTCGGCCTCTGGGGTCTCTTATAAAAGACAGTATTTCTGTTGGATTAGGCCCTACCCATTTGCCCTCATTTTAACCTTACTATTCTCATGTGGGCCCCATCCATATACAGTCACATTGGGAGTTAGGGCTTCAACATAGGAATTTTGGGGTCACAGCATTCAGTATCTGACAGCAAGTCCCCAAGGCAACACTGACTACCCTGCCTTCCTCACAGGCACCCTCTGTGAATGCTATGATGAGCTGGGCAATCGCTACCAGCTACCCATCTACTGCTTGTCACCGCCTGTGAACCTGCTGCTGGAGCACACTGAGGAGGAGAGCCTGGAGCCCCCTGAGCCCACCCCCAGCGTGCGCCGTGAGTTCCCGCTGAAGGTGCGCCTCTCCACAGGCAAGGACGTGAGGCTTAACGCCAGCCTGCCCGACACGGTGGGGCAGCTCAAGAGGCAGCTGCACAGCCAGGAGGGCATAGAACCGTCATGGCAACGATGGTTCTTCTCTGGGAAGCTGCTCACAGACCGCACACGACTCCAGGAAACCAAGATCCAGAAAGATTTTGTCATCCAGGTCATCATCAACCAGCCCCCGCCGCCCCAGGACTGACGGGCCAGACTCCTGGGAAGAGAGGCCACTGAGGGCTTCTGTGAGACTGAGGGGTCAAGGCCTGGAGCACGAGGTCCCCACCCTGCTGCCGCCTTCCAGTGCTGTTGTCTTCTTTAGGGGAAGCCTCCACCATATGGCTCTGCATGAGCCAAAAGGGACCCTGCCTCCCAGGAGCACTGTGGACCACCAGTGCCCAGCACCCAGGGAGCAGTGCTGCCACACACAGGCCTTGCCAACTTTGTCAGAGAAAAGACAACCCGGGGTCCTCCACCACACCTCTCTCCTGCAACAGGTTTGAGCCATGGGGCCAGCCTGGAGGCCCTGGAGCCCAGATCTGTCATCTGGTGCTGCCACTATGCTCAGTCCAGTTTTTCTCCTCAGGGTCGGAAGCAGCTGCTGTCTCCCTCCTCTGCCCCACCCTGACTCTGCCTGAGCACAATGCCAGTCCCCTAGAGTAGGGGGAACCACCGGTGAGCCCCAGGGCTTGGGGAGTGTGAGGCAGGCCTCTGCCTCTCCCTGCACCTAGCACAATCGGCAGAGATGAGGCGGGTGGCCAGACAGCTGGGCTTTGTGGCAGGGGTCTGCACAGGGCCATCTCCTGGCTGTAACCCAAGCGGTGGGGGGTGTGCAGCCTAGTCATGGCCCTCAGCAGGTCCCTGTGTACAGACATATCTGCATATTTATCAATAAAGCCTTTTGCTCCTTTCTTGCCTGGCATTGGACTTTGAGTTCTGCAGCTCTGTGGACCCCAGAGCGCCTGCTGTTGTGGGAACAGGTGGGTACAGCAGAGCATACAGACTGCTTCCAGGCCCTCATCCCAACTTCTCTTGTGTTCTCATGAGTCCTCAGGAAAAGCCACTTAACCTCTGAACCCACTTTGCTTTTGTGTAAAGAGAAGATGGTGTTACCTGCCCTGCTCCTCTAGCAGTTGCTGGGAGGGTTAAGTGGGACAAGGGATATGGAAGTGCCTGAAAAGCCAGGCAGCACCTCAGGAAAGCCGCAGTACTTGCTGCTGGGCTTTCCTACCCCAGGAGAGGGCTTACCTGTGCCCATGCAGTGTCAGAGTAAAATCTATAACAAATTTAGATTATGAGCATGCAGCAGAGGTTTGTGAACCAGAGAGAGAAAGGAACCAGTTCCTTGTGTTTCTTGAGGGGAATTCGTGCAAGTCAACAGACAGGAGTCTTAGATCAGGTTGTCTACCTGAGAGCTGGCCACATGAAGGTTACAGAAGTGCAGAGCGAGGGTGTCTGTGGTCCACTGGCAGGGTCATGATGACCCAGGACTTGAGCCTGCAAGTCCCAGGTGTGGAACTGAGTGAGCACAGGTCTGATTTTCCTTCAGTTGAGAGTTCTTTTCATTCTCAGTGAGCTGGCCCCAGTCAGGGTAGCCTGGCACTGCCTGGTGCTCCTTGTCAGCTAACCTAGCTCTGCACTGTGAGTCCTGCAGAGGCCTGTCGGGGAGAGACAGGTGGATAATGTCTGTCCATGGCTAATGTGCACATAGCCCAATGCAGCAGTGCTTCACTAGGAGTTGCTGTGGGGCTCCAGAGAGGCAAAGGCTGGCAGGAGCTACAATTAGAGAGAGGCAGCTGCCCCTACTCCTTCCACCAGCCTGCACAAGGCCCCCATAGCTAGTAGGGTCTGTTTATGGGGCAGGCAGGCATGCCTCAGGTCTCCATGTTTGGTTTTCAGGCCCCCTTGGGTGGGCCCCCATAGCTAGTAGGATCTGTTTATGGGGCAGCCTGGGGACACAAGCCTGTCTTGGTCTCCATGTTTGATTTTCAGGCCTCCCTGGCTGGTGCTAGCCAGCAGGGTTTCCAGGCATCCAGCAGGTGGCGCTGCCATCCAGGCCAGAGGTTGTAGCAGGCAGGTCCTTTGTGCAGTCCAGCTGCCCTGGCTAAGTCCCAGTTAGTCCCAAGCACTCAGGACCGAGGCTGAACAGGCTCCTTTCCACAACTCTGCTCTTAAGGCACTGTGCCCTCTGGCTTCAATAGCCAGAAGTTGGGGGAGGGGCAACCACCCTGGCTCCCCCTGTTCCCTAGGGCTTCCCGAGGTGAAGGTGACAGGTGGGGGAGGCAGGTGGAGAATTGGGCCGGTGAGCTCATGGTGAAGGCGCCTGGCGGGCGGGGGTGGGTGCTCTGGCCTATAAAGCCCCCGTGCCCTGTGGCCTGCAGAGGCAGTTATGGATGGCACCATGGAGGGCTCGGAGGCAGTGCAGAAGGCCACAGCACTCATTGAGCAGCGGCTGGCACAGGAGGAAGAGAATGAGGTGGGAGCAGGGGTGTGGAGTTTGGGGAGGGGTGCATGAGGAGACCCATTTCGGTTGTCATGGGACCGTGGAACCTGGTTGTCACACCTGGGGTGAGGGGGGCTGCACATGTGTCTCCTGGGGCCCAGCTGGCCCCATACCTGCTTCTAGCAGCGGGAGTTGCTGGTGACAAGAGACTGAGGTTCAGTTCCCAAAACAGGCAGTGAAAGTGGGGAGGTGGGCTGAGTTTCACCTGCACTTCAGAAGACGACACAGCTGGGCACTGCCATGCCTGGGGAGGCCTTTGGGGGCTCAGTTGCACTTTGTCTAAGACAAGGAAGTAGAGCAGAAGTGCTGGCTTATCCTATTCTATATTTTATTCAAACAAACACTTGAAGTGTCTGCTGAGAGGAAAGAGGACCGATAGGCCCAGAACTTCCCTTCTTTTTGCCAGCCCAGCCTTTTAGCCAGCACTCCTCAGTTGCATAGTCAGCCAAGAGAAAAGGCAGAGGGCAGAAATAGCTAAACAGAGATGTGGACAGCAGTGAAGGAGCACACAGTGTGGTTCATTCATCCCACTTGTGGGCCTTCAAGAACTACTCTGTGCAGGATGCCATCTGAGGTGGGTCTTCAAGAGTAATGAGAGATCAGAACCATGGAGAGTAGTCCAGACTAAGGAATGAGAGTAACCATGTCTTCGTGAGTGATGATTTCATGGCTGTAATGAGAAAGTGTGGTGGTAAGTGCTAAGGGTAGAAAGGGAGACGGACAAACTAGAGAAGGCCAGGTAAAAGATGCTTAGTCTGTGGGTGGCAGGGAGCCCCCAAATGCTTTAGAGTGAGGGAGAGTAGTGCCATCTGACTTCCAGAAAGACTGCTCTGGTGACCCTGAGAAGGATGTGTTGAAGAGGGAGAGGCTAGAGGAACTCGCCTTAGATGAACTCAGAGAAATTCACCACTCAAAAAAGGAAGTGTGGCTGAATGAGGGCGTGCAGAAAAGGAAAGGATCAGAACGCCAAGGGAAGAAATGGTGAACTCAGATTTGTCAAGGAGCCTGCTCAGTCCTAGCAGGGCCATCACAAGATCTCCAGGAATCCTGCTTCTCATTCCTGTGTGTACAGGGCTTGCTGGTGCCCAGCAGGGGAGTCATGCAGCTGTGTCATTTCTGGAGTGCTGCCACTAGACACAGGAGACTTCAGCAAGGGACACAGCAGTCCTCTTCCATTCATTCATCCAACAAATATAGCTACATGGCCATGAGGACACCAGGTGCCCACAGAGCCAACCTTCCCACCCAGTGCCTGTGCGTGCCAGGCTCTGTGCTAAGTACTTCATGGACACCCTCTCCTTGAACCTACACAACACTCTGTGAAGTCAGGTGGGAGTTTCGTTTTGTTTCATGAACTAACATTCCAATTCAGCAAACATTCACTGAGTACCTACTATGTGCCAGCCCACAAAGACAACTCTGGAGTGAGGGGCTATAGAGTCTGAGTAAGCCCTGGGTGGTCTTAGAGTCCACAGTTTCAACCAGGCCCCAACCTAACAGGGTTCTCAAAAAGCCTTTGGTGGCCTGTGTCCCCTTCCAGTGATAGGAGGAATGGGGGCTTAGAGGCCAGCTCAGGGCCACAGCTTTTGTGGGCAGCTTATTGGGTTAGGTCACCACTGAGAATTTAGGAATGGGCAGAGATGTCAAGCCAGCCTGTTATTATCCATTCACTCATTCATTCATTCAACAAACATCCCCTGAGCACCTAGTATATGCCAGGCCCTGTCACAGGCACTGGGGTTATCAGATGACTATGCCACAAGCCCACCCTCTGAATGCTCCATGGATCCCAGACAGAGTCCCATATGCACCAGTAGCTGCAGCCCCTGTCATCTCTTGTCCCTGGAGAAAATGCAGGGCTTTAAGGGAGGCCAGCACAGGGGAGACCCCAAACCATGTAAGCCTGACCAGAAAAGAAGCAAGCAGTGGTAAACAGGACCTTCAAAGTAAAGACCTGAGAATCCAGAAACCATCCTCCAAGCCCACCCTGGAAGAGGCTACTCTGGGGCTCAGTGAGAAATGAGAAAGGCAGTTGGGCACCATGAGGGGTCAGTTCTCTCTAGCTGTCCTCCTGCCTCAGCACCCTCCAACCTGAGCACATGTTACTGCACTCACATCCACTCAAGATACATAGGGACTCCAGGGAGGGAGGACCAGCAACTCACTAAGAGTGGCAGAGTAGTCCAGAAAGCCAGAACTATTATCAGAAAGACTTGGAGAGAAATTTCACTGTGTTAAAACAGCAAGAAAAAGGCAGATGCTTGGGTCCACCCGAGCCTGAATGCCAAGGAGCCACTGCTCTCCCATCCCTTAGTTTTCCCAGAGCAGTGAGTTCCAGATCAGAACACTGCAGAGAAAATAAAGCCAGTGTCTGACAAAGAGTTGCCAAATTTTCATATTGCCAAGAAGGCCATTGTAAAAATAACAACCGGGCTAGAGGTGTAGTTGAGTGGTAGAGTACTCGCCTGACGGGTACAAGGCCTTGGCTTCAATCTCCAACACCAGGCAAGCGCCCCAAAAAACTGCTTCTGAACACAATTATTTCACCAAAGTGAATTTTTACTGCCAAAAAAAGTGAAAAACAAGCAATGAAAACCATCTCGGTGCTTGAAAAAGTGACTAGTTAGACTCCTGTGTCCTTGGGTCCTGCTTCTGTGATTCAATCAATTACAGATAGAAAATATTTGAAAAAAAATTGCATCTGCACTAAACATACAGATTTTCCCCTCATATTCCCTAAACAATAAAGTACAACAGCTATTTACATGACCTGTACATTCTATTAGGTAGCGTAAGTACTCTGGAAAGGATTTAAAGTATATGGGAGGATGTGTATAGGTTATGTACAAATAAGTTGCCATTTTATACAAGGGACCTGAACATGCTCAGATTTTGGTATTTTTAGGGGGCCCTGGAATCAGTCCACTCTGGATACCAAGGGACAACTACATTCTTTATTTCATAATAAACTCACTCCAATGGTCTTCAGTCTTGTTTGGCTGGGGACCCACTGCAGTAAGCAGGCGTTTGAACAGAAGTTGAGATTGAAGCTGAGGTGGGGAACTGAGGTGGGCCCCTGTGGGGAGGCCTCTCCAGGAGCTCTGGAGGCCTGGGCTCTGAGGCCACACAGGAATCATTGTGGGTGTCCTTGGGGTGGTTTCGGGAGAGGCTGCCAGCCCCCAGATCCTGGAAAAGATACTGTCCCTGGCTCTGCAGAAACTGCGAGGAGCTGCCCATCAGAAGCTGCCCATGGAGCTGCTGGTGCTAGAGGATGAGAAACGCCTGGGGGCACAGAGCCCCTCTTTACAAAAGGTTAAGGTAAGTGTGGGAGACCCCCAGCGTCCGCACTTAGGGGACAGACCAGGCAGTGCTGGTCTCAGTCCCTTCACTCTTCTCCCTTTCCTCCCTGGACCCCTGCACTAGCCTCTCAGCACCCCTGGGAACTTGTGAGCAATGCACCCTCCTGGGCCCCGCAGACTTGCTGAGTCCAAATTCCTCAATTCTGTGCCATCCTGTCCTGGAAGGAGAGCTGGACCTTGATGCCTTCTCTCTTGAGAAGGTCTCCCTACCCACCCTATCCGTGCCTCCAGCTTAGCTCAGGAATCCTCCCACCCTGCAGAATTCTTCCCCAGTGTGGGGTTGACAAGCCATCTCCGCTTAGGGCCAAGAGCGCGTGCGCAAGACATCCCTGGACCTGCGGCGGGAGATCATCGACGTGGGCGGGATTCAGAACCTCATTGAGCTGCGGAAAAAACGCAAGCAGAAGAAGCGGGAAGCCCTGGCCGCAGCCCAGGAGCCTCCTCCAGAGCCCGAGGAGATTGTAAGGGCCCTGGGGAGGACATCTGTGTGGGTGGGAGGGAAGCTCGGGACTACCTGGGCCACCTCTATGACTGGACTTACGTTGCAGACTGGCCCTGTAGATGAGGAGACATTCCTGAAAGCAGCAGTAGAGGGGAAAATGAAGGTCATTGAGAAGTTCCTGGCCGACGGAGGTTCAGCTGACACCTGCGATGAGGTGATACTGCCCCCCAACAACACCTCTCTTTCAGGGTTGCTACCCTACCCTAATCAAATCCTGGTTGGGCCCATTAGTGGGCCTGTTTGAGAACAGCCAGGAACTTGCTTTGCATGGATGAGGGGATGCCCATAGTAGCTGCTCCCTTCCTCACTCAGGGATTTACCCAAATCCTTCTTAGACTTTTACCCTTTATCCAACTGCAGCCACCTCCAGAATAACAAATGTCACGTTTCTTTTCTTTATTTCTTTTTTTCATAGAATCCTTTTTTATTTTTTTAGCCATACTGGGGTTTGAACTCAGAGCCTCACATTTGCCAGGCAGGAGCTCTACCACTTGAGCCACTCCACCAGCCCATCACATGTTTCTTTAGGGAAGATGGAGGACTAGGCCCAAATCCCATGTCTACTACTCTCTGGCTGTGGGACCTGGGGCTGGGTCACTTCTCCAAGCCTCAGTTTCCTCCCCTGTAACATAATCTGCTGCCCTCACAATATGTTATGATTAATGGAATATTAGCATGTCAATAAGTGTTTATTAATGAATGAAAACACTGTAAAGCACATGCTAGGATACATTTTTGTTTCTCATAGTATAATCTCATACTTCCTTTTAAATTTTATTATTATCATTTGCAGTGCTAGGGATCAAACCCAGGGCCTTGTGCATGCTAGGCAAGCGCTCTACCACTGAGCCACTTTACCACTGCAGTAAAATGTACCATTGTAACCATCCTAATTCAGTGCCATTAATTACACTTATGTTATGTAACCATCACCACCATCTATTTAAATTTTTTTCCATCAGTCACCATGTTTCTGTTTACCTTAAAACTGCCTCTTGGTGCTTCATAAGGTGTTCCCTTCTTCTCACATCCTGGGATTCAGCACATTCATGATCACTCACCTTTGGTCTGCATTATTTTAGACTTTGACCATTTGTTCTCTGCTCTTTAGCCTCCAGGGTCTTCATCCTTTTTGTCTGCCCAAGAACCTCCTATCTTCTAGTGCTAGGAGTACAAAACAAGAAAGAAAAAAAAAAAGTCATGGGAGACTGCTCATAGCTAGATCTTCAGTGTACAGAAAGACACATTCCGTGGGTACTGTGGCCAAGTGCTTCAGGAACCCAGAGCAGAAAGTGTCTGCACTGAGAGGGGAGGAAGTTTCTTCTTTCCTTGAATCAATAATCAGTGAGACCTACTCATCCTGACTCTGTGCTCAGCACTCAGGAAGAGTCAGCCTGTCCTCCAGTACTCTCTCATAGTCAAGGTCATCTGCACCCTCAGGACAGCTCAGGCCTAGAGGTTTCAAGGAAAAAATGGCACATGAGCAGCATCTTAGGGAGTGCAAGATTGGCATCAAGCATTCCTAGAAAGTAAGGGCAAAACAGACATGACAGCAGAGGGACCAGCCTGTGCAGAGGCATGGCTACATGTGCTGGGGGCAGAGTCCCTAAGGCAGGGACTCCAGAGCTGGTCTTGACAGAGCATAAAAGATCTGGCAGTACACACAAGACATGGAGACTCTGCACGGGGTCAGAATCCACTTGTGGCAAGGCCTAGGCCTCAACTTTGGGGGAGAGGGGTTCAGACCCGGGGCCAGAGGCCAGGCCCTGACAGCTTCTCTGGGGACAGTTCCATCGGACAGCACTGCACCGGGCCTCCCTGGAGGGCCACTTGGAGATCTTGGAGAAGCTTCTGGAGAGTGGGGCCACTGTGGACTTCCAGGATCGGGTGAGTGGTATGAGGGCAGATATTGTGCCTAGTACTAATAGAAGCCCCCTCCCTGTGAACCGGTGCCAACCAGGGACAAAAGGCTGCTCAGGGGCCAAGCCCCACCTCTGTGGGTTCTGTGACATTGGAAAAGCCCAATCTCCTTCCTGAGTCTCCTCTGTAACTCTGGCTTGGAATAAATGGACCCTGGAGGTGCTTCTATTCCATTGCCCAGGCCATAGAGTGTCTGTGCCCCTTCCCCGTACCTTTCTCCTGTCCTCTTGGCACTCCTTTCCCCCAGGGCACTTTCTTCCCTGCATCTCTTCCTGAGGTACCATGCTTTCCTTCTAGCTGGACTGCACCGCCATGCATTGGGCCTGCCGTGGAGGTCATTTGGAGGTGGTGAAACTCCTACAAAGCCGAGGAGCAGACACCAATGTGAGGGATAAGGTGAGGCAGTAGTGCTCAGGTGTAGCTGACATTGGGATGGCTGTGGAGAGGAAAGTGGCGGTAAACGGCAGGTAAGCTCAGGTGGCAGGAGAGTAGTGAACTAGTCTAGTTTCTAGAGTAGCTGTGGAGCACTTGCAGGCCCTTGATGGACCACCATCTTCCTTCCTTCTCTGCAGGAGGACAAAAGACCTACTATTTTGAGATTCCCTCAGAAGATACAGGATTTGTTCACCCATACAATCCTTTATTGTCCTTCTGGTTTATCCATCCATCCATTTATCTGTTCATTTATTTATTAATCAACCTTCTTTCTATTCATTCTTTCATGTGTAAGTAACTTTAGCTCCTGAGCCTCTGTTCCTCATCTGTAAAATGTCTTGCATAGTTCTTGCATAAATTAGGTGAGAAATATATGTAAATGAGTTACTTACTGAATGCAAAGCTTTTGCCATGCCCATTGCATAGTCACCTCTTAATAAGTGGCATCTATCATAATTATTAAAAAGAGCAGTGGGCTGGAGATGCAACTCAGTGGTAGAGCACTTGTCTGGCATGTGCAAGGCCCCAGCATCCCAAAATAATAAAAAGAAGAGTGGAGGAGTGAACAGGTTGCTCACAGCTGGGTGAGAAGGGAACCACAGACAGCTTTCAAAGGAAGCTTTACAGTTAGATCACTGGATAGGATGGCAGCGAGCTATACCATTCCCTCCCACTACAAGGCTCAGACCTTGACACTAGGACTTGAGAGAAGGATTAAGCTGGAGTTGGACACCCCCCATCCCAGGAATGCCACGATCAGCCCGTGAACAGTTCCTGTTTCCTCCCACACAGCTGCTAAGCACTCCCCTGCATGTGGCAGTCCGCACCGGGCACGTGGAGATTGTGGAACACTTTCTCTCCCTGGGCTTGGACATCAATGCCAAAGATAGAGTGAGTGCCAACCTCCCCTCTGCTCGGGCCCTACTGTGTATGTGTGGGATAGCTTGCAGGCTGCCATAGGCAAGTGAGATGCCAGGACTGTGGCTCCTGAGCAAGGTCCCTAGCCCACCTCCTGTCACCCTGCTCCCCACTCACTGCCCCCAAGGGCCATGCTGATTGCTACACTGACTCTAGGAAGGGGACAGTGCCCTGCACGATGCTGTGAGGCTCAACCGCTACAAAATCATCAAACTGCTGCTCCTGCATGGGGCTGACATGATGACCAAGAACCTGGTGAGTTCATTCCATCCCGATTCAGTTACTGGCTGAGCCCTTGCACAGTGGAGAGTCTGTCTGGGGAGGGTACTCTGGGGCAGCCTCAATCTAGGGACACATGTCATTGGCTGTGGTCATGAGCACAGTACACATTGTTCTCTTCCAGAACACCAAAACCACCCACCTCCCTAACTCTAACTCTGTGTGTCAATGTCCAGCATACAGTTGAAGAGAAACAGTAGGAAGGGCAGTAAGAGGACTGCCCGTAGGCCTCCAGATAGGCCAAAGGGGATCCTAATAGCAAGACCCAAGGGGACCAAGATCATGGAGGGACAGAGCTGAAAGCAACAAAACACCTGATGATGTGGCCATTCCTAGTGCACCACATTGGTTCCTGGTGGTCCTTGAGTTTTCTGAGGATCAATGTCCCATGGTCCAAGTTCTTCTTTGGATCCCAGAGCAATCACAAAAGAGAGGGTATGGAAGGGTCCCTCTGGTATAAGAAAGGCTAAGGGGGTACTGGACATGGAGAAGGTGTGGTGTTCCTCAACCTCCACACTAGGGACATTGGAGGTTGAACAGTTCTTTGTTGTGGGGACTGTCTAGTACGTGGTAGCATGTTCAAACAGCTTCTGCCCACTACATACCAGCTACACACTTCCCCGAGTTGTGACCACCAAAATATCTTTACCGCAAAGATATTTGCGGTAAACCAGTGGTTGAGAGCCACTGGTTTAGCTGAAGACAGCTTTTGGTGGACTTCTGAACCACTGACAGATCGCTTCTTGGTTCCCTCAGGCAGGAAAGACACCCACAGACCTGGTGCAACTGTGGCAGGCTGACACCCGGCATGCCCTGGAGCATCCTGAGCCAGCGTCAGAGCAGAATGGGCTGGAGGGGCCTGAAAGTGGACGAGGGACCCCCCAGCCTGTGCTAGCCCAGTAAATTCCTGCCCCAGCCCCTTCATGACCTGTGTGCAGCCAGGTGGTCCTAAAATGACCACCAAACCTAGCTGAGGACCCAGCCACCATTCTGTATGATCTAGGAGTGCCCACAAACTAGCACAATAAAAAAAAATTGTTTTTGCTATTTGTGCTGTTTGCTTCCGTTTGTTTCTAAAAGTTTAGGAATGAAGACTGGGGGCTAGAGTGGGCTTGAAAACAAGGGGAAGTTGGAGACCCTTGGCCCCTCTGTGCCAGCTCTCCTCTCCCCTACAATGGTCTCTCCTTGCTTTCTTCCCTGCCACTCTGTTTTTTCTGCCCCTTCCTAAATGGCAAGGGGCTAGGATTAGCCCTTACTTGGGTCATCTCTGTGATATGCAAATTTCTGTGCTCCCCTTTCCTGCTGTGACTGCTGTCCTATGGAGCTGTGTGTGATTAGCACAGGCTTGAGTCATGGCTGCCTTGGCAGGAATCTGGCATGGATGTGAGGTGCAGCTTGTCACAGCAGCTTCTCACCCAATGTGTAGCACCTCCCTCCTACAGGGCAGGGCCAGGCCAGCTCAGCCAATCACATCCACCAGCCTTGGAACTACTTGGAAACTGCCCAGGCTCCTGGCTTTTGGGCTGGGAACTGTGAGAAGGCTCAGGCCCTGTGAAAGACGCCTGTTAGCATTGGGACCCCAGGAACCAGACTTCTGTCTGTCTGGCCTGAGGGACACTAGGCTGTGGCACTTCTCCAGCTGCTGAGGGACACTGGATTATGACACTTCTCCAGTTGCTCCCCAAGGTGGTGAAGGGCTCCTGGAGCCTTTAGGCCTTGCCTCTGACCCTAGGGGCACCCAGCACAGGCCTGCCCCAGTGCCCACAAGTCGGCAAGGGGGGGCTGCAAATTTTTAACTAGACATATTGAACATTAACAGTGGGTAGGAAGGAGTCCAAACTCACTCTGGACCATAGACAGTTGGGCCTCTGGTTTCCTGTAGAGATGCTGGGCCCCAGAATCTGGGCCTCTGTGAGGCAGGGCCTGGACAGGGCCTTGTTCAGAAACATGGGGAGCTGGACCTCAGGAGAGGGAAAGAAGGTGGACATCTCTGGCATCTACCCCCCTGTGACCACCCCCTTCACTGCTACCAAAGAGGTGGACTATGGGAAACTGGAGGAGAACCTGCACAAACTGGGCACCTTCCCATTCCGTGGTAAGCAGACCTGTCCATGGTGGGAGTGGGGAGCCAGAGACCATGGGAGGTGCACAGTTCTGGCACCTTGGGCTGAACCTCCCCTGCCTCTTTTTCCCCAGCTGTAAAGGCTAAAATGACTTCTTGACTCGCAGGGTTATTGTGGGGATCCCACTAGATTAACAGGTGTGAATGTCCTTGTCAACCGGTCCTCACTGATGTGAAGGTGAGGTCACATGGCAACACAGCTAGGGTTTGTCTTTCTCTCTCCAAGTGCCATTTGCTGTTCTCTTCTGGGCAAAGCCTCCCTTGCAGACTTAGTTACCACTGTGTTGACTCCTCTGATTCATCTCCTCCTTTCTACATGGGTCTCCCCCTTTCTGAAGTCAGGTCATATTTGTGACGTTCAATGTGCCCCACAGACACACGCAATAAATGAAGGTAGAAGAAAATGGCACAATTCACCTGTTCTGCTTCTCCCGCCCATCACCCAGAACAGTCCCTGGGCAGTGCCCTCAATGGTACCATCTCAAGGCCACATGGCTAAGCTGAGATTTGGACCGCCTCTGCCTTCATGGCCCATTCCTCTCCACTTCTGAGTGGCTGGACTGTACTGTCCCCACAAATGGCATCTGGTGAGCTCCAGCTTTGGGAATGACATGGCTCTGACTGAGGAGGTACAGGGTAGCAATTAAAACCAGGGACTCTGGTTTCTAATCACAGCTCTGCCACTGACTTACTGTGGGATACTCTCTCTAAACCTCAGTTTCCCCATCTGACACGGGAGTGGTAATTCCTATGTCATGGGATGGCCAAGAGGAAAGTATGGGAGAATGCAAGTGAGAGCATGATGTAAATGCTACCATGCTACATGCTACAAGTGTAGGTTCCCACGAGAACTACTAAAATGGCAGTGTAGTTTGGCATGGTAGCAAAACTGCTTTGTGACAATAACTGGTGGCCCAACTGAGCCTCCTTCATAGCTCAGTGCACAGATGATGTGACCTTTCCCCAGGGGGACAATGAATGCCCTGTGGAGGGCCACATTGAACAGGGACAGCTCTAAAGAAATGTATGCTGGAGTTTGCTCATGGGGCCTGAAAGTTGGACAGAGATTTGGTTCTCTTGAAACAAAGAAAAGATTCTTAGCCTCTGAGAGAAGGTCTTACTTCAGTCAGTGACACCATAGTTCAGGGGCCTGGAGAGTGGGTTTTTCATCTGGTGTCCGTCTACTATCCAGAGAATCTGGAGACCCTTAGGCTATTCTCTAGGCCTTTTTCCATATTCTGCTGAGGTCATGGGGGTATCTTGGAGACAGGCTTTGGTGGATTTAACTCACAGGCTTCTGGTGCTGTCTGATCCCTCTCTCAGCCACACATCAGGGAGGTGGGGGCTGTGGGAGAAAGAGCCCAAGGTCTGGAGGTAGAAGACCGGGTAAGACTGCTAGTCTGACCTTTACAGTGACTGAGAAATCCTGTAACCCAACCCACTTTCCTCATTTGAGAACAGGAGCTGAACCTTCAGGCTCCTAACCACAGGGTTCAACATAGTCCTCTAGAGGCGGTCAACCATGCAGTGCTGGCACGGAGAACACAGAGCCAGGGGTCCTTCTGCTACAACCAGGAAATAGCATCTTAGTTCTGCTGTTTCTCTCGCCCTGCTCTGGAGCATACATCACAGCCCAACACTCAGAGACGGAGGCAGCTGTCACATGCCACATTGTGGAGGTGTCAGCAACAAACAGGAGGCGGGAGCCTGCCCTTGATACATCAGTGAATACAGAGATTCTTCTGAAAGAAACACTGCCTAACACTGGGTAGCTTTTTTATCTTTAAATCCTCATTAATTTGCACTGATTATTTGAATAAAGAATACTCTTTTAAAATAAAAGTTAAAACCAGAGACTGAGGGAGGGGTTGTTCAGAAGAGCCATTTGACCATCTGACCCTGAAAACAACCTCGAAGGTGGACTTTGAATTGTTATTTCCAAATGGGTTAGCAGACACACAGGACTATTCCAGCAGTGTTGGGGAGTCTCGTTTCTTCAGTATGTAGAATGAACATGCTACATACATGAATGAAAGAGAACATAGTTTTGGATACATTATAACTATTTCTCAGTTAAAGAAAATATTGTATTTAAAATGTCAGAACTAAAATAAATAAATAAAATGTCAGAACTTGGGTGACTGTGGGAGCACGTGCCTAGCTACTTGGCAGGTGGAGATCAAGAGGATCTCAGTCCAAGGCAAAAAGTTAGTGAGACCTCATCTTAATCAATAAACTAGTAGTACATACCTGTGGTCCCAGCTCCAAGAGAGGTCATAGGTAGGAAGATCAAGGTCTGAGGCCAGTCCCAGAATAAAAATTAAAATGAAGCAAAACGGGGTTGGGGTAGTGGCTCAAGAGGCCCTGAGTTCAAACCCCAGTACTGGCAAAAATAATAACAATGATAAAATGTCACAATTTTTATAAACCCACTTTGGCATTCCTTCTTTTTTTTTCTTTTCTTATTTATTTTTTGGACAAGTCTCACTATGTAGCTCAAGCTGGCCTCAATCCTCCTGCCTCAGCCTTCCAGGTACTGGGATTACAGGTATATACTACTATGCCAGCTCCACATTTCTTAAATATGCTAGATGTCTTTTGAGGGGGAAAAAAAAAGAGTAACCCAGGTCTGTTTCCAGCTGAGAGGGACTGTGCAGGCACCTATGGCAAGCCTAGCCAGCTGGCCTACCACTCACCACTCACCATGCCTACTTACCAGGGGCAAATTCTGGATCTGCAGGTGCATCACTAAGGCAAGAGCTAGCAGCTTCCAATCCCAAACAACTCCAGGGACCTGGGGTCCCATGGAGAATCCCGTCCCATCTGCTCTGCCTTCTCAGCCTCCTGCTTGTCTCCCCCATTTGTGACCTCATGTTATTCCAGAATGAGTTTCTCTCTGGGCCTTTTTCCTTCTAGATTACCCTGTAATGGGTTGGGGCTCAAGGCCAAAGGGGTCCTTTTGTCATGGTGAGCCTGACCCCACATCCTTTGTCCCCTGGGGGTCACCAGATGGTAAGGGACTAAAACCGAAGACTGGAAGATAAAAAGTACCAAGTAACATAATGGCTTATAAGCAGAAGGGAGAAAAGACTGAGAATTAGAGAAATTCCTTCCACGGCCCGGCCCGTGAGGACAACTGTCAGGGTGAGAGACAGGACCCAGCCTTACACAATGCTGGCCAGGCTAGACATGAAAGATGTGGTGGCCCCCCTGCCCCACCCCCAACTGCTTTCCTCACAATAGGGCTCATTCTGAGGTGGCAGGGGGCAACCTAGGAAAGGCAAGGCTAGGGAAGGTGCCTGCCAGACACCCATGGGGGGCTTACCCTTTCAAGCATGAGCCATACCACCTGGGCTCGCCACTCCCGGTGCACTCTTCCCTTTGCCTGCCTGGCGTAGGGTCCTGGAGACCATCCTGGAGCTCCTCCACCAACCATCATGCAAGGTTGTGCTGGGGACCTTGCTCTTGCTGGGAGGTGGAGGCCTTGTGTTGTGGGCCCAGAGGAAGAGGAGCAGGAAGACATTTCCCCAGCCTGCACAAGACGAGCTTCCAGAATCCCATAGAGCAAATGACAGCTGGATCAAATCTCACTTTAGCCGCCTCTCCCAAGAGAAGCTGCACCACGATGATTATGTCCACGCCAATGCCTGCAACGATGGTCTCCAGCCTGAGAGTGGGAGCGGAGAGGCCAGCACCACGATCCGCATGGAGACCTTCACAACCAGGCGAGGGGAAGGAGGCACAGCTCTGCACAGGGAATCCTTCACCAGCAGGCAGAGGATGTCAGGGTCCTCAATGAGCAAAGAGACCCACAAGGAGTTGGGAGTGTCCCCGTCCATGGAGGACGCCACCTGGGCCTCTGTGGCTGCTTGTGTCAAGGAGATTGACACCCAGGGGCAGCACCTGGCTAACTCCATGCTGCAGAGAGCCGCAGCTTACCAGCACTCAGGCCACGTGGAGTCCGAGGACATCAACCCGGAGGAGCTAAAGGGCCTTGAGGAGGTGGAGATGAAGCTGAAAGGGAATTTCTTCACCCAGAGGGACACCACCATAGCTGGTGCCAACCAAGCACATGCTTTCTATAGCCACAATCGCCATGGCCACCAGAGCCACCAAGGCCACCCAGGGCACCAGAGCCACCCAGGCCACAAAAGCTACCAGGCCCATCCAGGCCACCAGAGCCACCAAAGCCATCCAGGCCACCAAAGCCACCAGGGTCATCCAGGCCACTCGAGCCACCAGGGTCATCCAGGTCACCCAAGCCACCAGAATCATCCAGGTCACCCAAGCCACCAGAGCCACAGCCTGCCCAACCGCAGCCACCCAACCTATGACTCTTGAAGTCACCTAATCACATGCACCCCTTCCCCCAGCAGGGCTGGCCCATGTACACAGGCCTGTCTTCTCTCCTTTGGGGAAATCTCTGTGGCCCAAGGTGAGAGGCTGCCACCCAAATCCCTTCTTCCTCTGGTCCCCCACAGGGGTCATGAGTGGGGTCTACACAAAGAATAGCCCCTGCTGGAGGGAGAGTTGGAAGGAGGAAGCAAGGCAGCCATGACAGACCCTGGCCCCTGAAGATCCACCAAGAGAAGACAAATGAGGCAGATCCCAGGAGCAGCCACAAGCCAGCCCCACATTGATGCCAAAGGCCTGGTACAAAGCCAATAAATCCTTGCACGCCCTCACTCTGAGTCCAGGGCTCTGTGGTCAACCTAAGGGGTGGGCAGGGATGGAGGGAGAGGGCGCCTTCTCCAGCAGTCCTCTGTGGGTGGGCCTTTGCCTAGGACCTTTTCATTGGGCCTGACTTGAGACTCCATGAAACAACTTTCCCTACCCTCTGGGGCTGGTGATGGGTTACCTCCAGGGACCTCAAACCCACCAGCTTGCTGTTGCCAGGGAAGGAGAAAGCAGCCAGGCCTTTGGGGAGTGGGAAGGAGGGACCAGTAACAGACTTTTAAAAGAGAGTAAGTAAACCCGGTGGGACTTTGAGCCTCAAGTCTGTGGCATCAATACTGCCATATTCTCTCCCTGTCCACCTGTTTCTGGGTGGACATAGGGATCCATGTCAGAATCTGTCTACCACCTGTGTCCACAGCTATAGAGCTGGTATAGTAACACTCTCTTCTGGTTCATGTCACCATGGATGGGCTGTGACTGTGACTTCTGTGGCTGCTACCAGTATTACTAGCACAACTAGCAGATTCCTCTTTTTTTGAGGTTTTTTTAATGTATGACTTGCCCTGTGCTAAAGCGTTCAGTCATAGCTCCATAAGGAAGGTATTAAGTTATTTCCATTTACAAATCAGACATCTGATGTCCATAGTCATAACTCGCCTGGGGTGACAGCAACAGATGTTTCTGGGATTAGATCCCTACTTTGCTGACTCCAAAGTCCACAGAGTTTCCTAGTCCCTGCCCTGTGCTGCCTCCATATCCTCTTCCACCCACCCACGTGACTCTCTTCCTCTTATACTTATCCCTGACCTCTTTGGATATGTCCTGACAATTCCTCTTCATTCCTGCAAGCCTAGCACTCCCTGTCTCCTCTTCCTGGCTTTTTTTTTTTTTTTTTTTTTTGGTGGGATTGGGTTTGAACTCAGGACTTTGTACTTGCAAAGCAGGTGCTCTACTGCTTGAGTCATACCTCCAGGTCCCTACAAGGCATTTTTAAGGTGAGGGGTGACCCTCTACTCAGGCAGCTTCCCCTGTGAGTTTAGAGAAGTCAACTACAGGCACTGACTAACTCCAAGTGACTGTTCGACATAGAAATTTCTAACCATTTGAATCTGTTATAGATTTGCCAGGAGCTCTCCCAGCCTGTGGGCCTCCAAGTCTAGCAAGCATGAGGCCCTGAGTTCAAACCCTGATCCCACCAAAAAAAAAAAAGAAAAAGTCCAGTTATATCATTCACAGATATAACTCACCAGAGTTATATATCTCTGGTTCTGATCATTGTGCTGCACTAGGTATTGCTGGTGGAGACTTGGGGGAGAGATGTATAGAAATCCCATGTATTTTTGCAACTTTTCTGTAGGTCTCAAAGTAGTTGAAAGCTAATACGGTTAATTTGAGACAACTTATGCACACGCGTCAAAGTTTTATTACAATTGTGCTAGAAACAAAATGGCCTTGAGGCAGCCAACTCAAGTATATACTCTTGGTGAGTGAGGACATTTTTATTAGGATAGAGACAGTGGGACCCCTGTTAGACTAGATAGAAAGAGCCTGAGTCAGCTAGGAGGGTGCTGACTTCCTAAATCAAGGCTTCATTCCATTCAGTTCATCAGGAAATTGCTTATGAATTTTATTAGGAATGTCAATTTCTTTCCAGAGGAAGGTTATGAATTCCATCATGTAAAAAAGCTCTGCCCCAGGCCAAGCAGGTTTGGGGCAATTTTTCTTTTACACAACAAATCATTCAGCTCACACTTCATTGGGTGCTGTGCTAGGTGTCATGGAGGAGACCAAAATGACACCACCTTGCTGATTCCAGGCAAAGCTAGATGAGCACTGGGTAAGGAGAACAAATGCTGTGGGGCCCAGATGGGAAGGGAATCCAGGAAAGGCTTGTTGGCTGTCAGCGTTTGGGAGGTATCTGCTAGGTCCAGGCTAAGGGAATGCCCTGAGCAAATGTGCAGAGGCAGGAAGTTAGTTGTGTGCTGGGGGAGGGGGGAAAGGACACTTTTTCTGTATGTGTGGTGTAGGAGATCATACCCCTTCATATGTGCTAAACTCTCTACCACTGAGCTATACTATAGCCCTTCTAGGTTTTTTTGTTTTAGGTTTTTATTAGTAGTTTATATTAGTTGTACAAAGTACTGGGTTTCATTGTATGTCCATACATGCATATGATGTATTTTATCATATTCGTCCCCTCTAAAATCCTATCCCCCTTCTTCCTCCTCCTGTTCCCCCTCCATGTCCCAGTATTGCTTTTATTTTCACATCCTTTTTGTCCCCTCTTAAATTTCACATATAAGAGAAAATGTGATATTTGTCTTTCTGAGTCTGGCTTAGCTCACGTAACGTGATGATTTCCAGTTCCATCCATTTTCTTACAAAAGACATAAGTTTTTTGTGTGAATGAATAATAATTCATTGTGTATATATGCCACATTTTCTTTATTCATTCGTTTGTTGATGGGCACCTAAGTTGATTGCATAACTTGGCTATTGTGACTGTGTGACAATAATATGCAGGTGTCTTTATAAGCAGCTTTGATTCCTTTAGGTGTATACATTCGAGTGGTTATAGCTGGATCATATGGTAGTTTTATTTTTAGTTTTTGAGGGTCTTCCATACTGATTTCCATAGTAGTTGGACTAACTTAAAGTACATAATAGTCCGCCCTACACACACACACAAATCCCACTAGCATTCGTTGGTTGTTTGGTTTGGTTTAGTGGGACTGGAGTTTGAACTCAAGCAGGGCTTTGCACTTACAAAGCAGGCACTCTACCACTTGAGCCACACCTCCAGTCCATTTTGCTCTGGTTATTTTGGAGATGGGGGTCTAGCGAACTATTTGCTTGGGTTGGCCCTGAACCTTGATCTTCTCCAGATCTCAGCCTCCCAAGTAGCCGGGATTATAGGTGTGAGCCTCCGGCACCCAATTGTTTGTTTTCTTGATGCTATACATTTTGACTTGGGTGAGATGGAATCTCAGTGTAGTTTTGATTTGCATTTCCCTGAGGGCTAAAGACATTGAACATTTTTTCATGTATTTATTGGTCATTTATCCTACTTCATTTGAAAAGTGTTCAGTTCATTTTCCCATTTATTGGTTGGATTATTTGTTTACTATCATGTTTAACTTTTTTGGGTACTTTGTCTATTCTGGATATTAATTCCCTATTGGATGAATAGCTGGCAAAGACTTACCCCGTTCTGCAAACTGTCTCTTCACTCTGCTTTGCTTGTTTTGCTGTACAGAAGCTTTTGCAATCCTATTTTGTCAATTCTTGCCATGTGCCTGCTGGTGGGACATTTCTCAGGCTTCACAACTCTAGCAGCTGTGTGATTTCTTCTGACTGCAAGACCATATCGAGGTCACCTGGAAGCATCAGAAGCGGGAGATGATATGATAGATGATGTCATGAAGAGAAAATTTGACCAAAAGAGATATGCAAAAGGGTTCATCTTTCCCACAAATGGAAATGCATAATGGATTGAAACCTGTCATTATAATTGGTGTGATTTTACAAGCATCTTCAGTAAAGGCAGATAGGTGACAGATTTGAGGTCCAGCAAGCAATACAGCAAGTTCAGGGTAGTCTGGAATAAATAGGGAGACCCTGTTTCAATGAATAGCACACAAATCTTTTTAAGAACAAGTTAAAGTCCAGTGAAAATTCATGTAGTTGAATGCTGTATACGTAATATGAACAAATTATAAATTTTTACAGAATGTTCCAGACAACATGACCAAGGTATAAATGTATTGTTTGAACATCAGCTTTATGTTTGTCATTCTGGTGTCTACTTGTAAGCCTGGCTGCAATGGAACCTGAGGCAGGAGGACTGCTAGAGCACATAGTTGGACATTGGCAGTACCCTACTTTAAATAATAACAGCTCAATAAAAGAAAGTACATGGATTAATGTAACATAACTCTGTTAGTTTGTTTGAGTTTCATGGGCACTGTCTTTTTTTCAAAATATGTAACGCTTCAGGAATTTGCATGCCATCCTTGTGCACGGCCATATTAATCCTCTCTGTGCCATTCCAATTTCAGTATATGTGCTGCTTAAGTGAACGTGATACTATGTTAATCAGATCAGATCATTTGATAAGGTGTGTCTACTCTGATTTGAAAAAAAAAAAAAGAAAGGCATTTTCTGTGCCTAGATTTTGAAGTGTTTTCCCTATATTTTCCTGTAGTGTTTCAAAGATTCAGGTCTTACATTAAGTCTTTGATTGATTTTGGGTTGATTTTTTTGCACAAGGTGAGAGATAGGGATCTAGTTTTAGTCTTCTACATGTGGATATCCAGGTTTCCCAGAACCTCTTGTTAAAGAGGCTGTCTTTTTTTCCAAAAAGTGTGTTCTTAGCACTTTTGTCAAGAATCAAATGATTGTAGCTAGGTGGACTTATTTCTGGTCTTCTACTCTATTCCATTGGTCTAAGTGGCTGATTTTGTGCCAGTCAATACCATGCTGTTTTTGTTATTATGAATCTGTAGTGTAATTTGAGGTCAGGTCTTCTGATATCTCCAGCATTGATCTTTTTCTCTGATTGCTCTGGCTACTTGGGGTCTTTTGTGCTTCTATATGAATTTTAGGATTTTTTCTATTTCTGTGAAGAATGTGTCATTGGAATTTTGATTGATGGGGATTGCATTGAATCTGTAGGTCACTTTTGGTAATATGACCATTTTCATAGTATACTGCTAATGTATGAACATGGGAGGTCTTTCCATCTTCTAGTGTCTTCTACAATTTCTTCCGTGCTTTATAGTTTTTATTGTAGAGGTTTTTAACATCTTTGATTAGTTTTATTAGTATTTCACTAATTTGTTGAGGCTATCCTGTTTTCCTGGCTTCTTTTTTGGTGAATTCATCAATTGTGATGGAAAGGGAACATTAAGAGACAAAGGGTGGGGAAAGCCAGAAAAGTGACTGTGAAGCTAAGCCAAGGAGGACTTTGGAGACCATACGATCTAATTTCTCATTTTATAGGAGGGGCCAGATGGGGGCATCATGGGGAATTCAAGGGTCGTGAGGACCTCTGTGTATGTGAGAAGTATAGGAATAGGTAAAATTCAGGGGACAGAGACCCACAGAGGGATTCCAGAAAGACTATCTGGGAGGAGGCAGCCATGATGATAAACCAAGAGGCCATTGCAGTGACCAAAAATACCTCTTTATGTAAAAGAGATTGCAATTCCTTTCAGCCACAGTTTCTTGTGTGTCCCCAGCTCTAAGCACCCACTGCCCTTTCCAGGCCTAGCTCTCCAGAGCAGCCAGCAAAAGTTTGGGAACAGGGAACAGGAGCTTCCAAAATGAAAGTGACTCACCCTATAGCTGGGGGGGAGAGGGAGTCAGACAGATCCTGGACTGCAGCCTCTCCTCCAGCCCAGCCATCCTCTTGATTTAAGACTGAGCCCTTTCTCCCTACTGCATAAGAATTTCAGGTAACACCTACCAAACAGCGGGTTCTATTCTAAGCACTTACAAGTAGCATCTCATTTAAAATTAACTCTTCAAAGAAAGTACTAATAATATCCCCATTTTTCAAGCAAGGAAGCTGAGGTTTGGTTAAGCCATTTTCTTAAGATCTCATAGCTGTTGAGATCATACTGAAAGTTGGTCCCGGTTTCTCTCTGGCTTTATCCTTCACTAGCCTAGGCTATGTTTCTTCGTGGGAGTCAGGCATGGGTTCCATGCCCTCTTCCAGAAGCAGGAGGGTGGACTGTACCAGACCCCACTATCCTGCTTTGAGGCCCAAGGCCTCTGGAACTGACAACTGGATGAAAGGTGACTTGGAAGTAACTATGGCTGGGTCAGTGACCATAGCACAAGCCTGCCCCAACCTGGTAGTAGATGGGTTTGGCATTTGAATAGAGGAAGTAGCGAGAACTTGATCTCTAAATCCTTAGCCAAGGTGCTGATCTGATGGCTGCTAGATCCAATGGCAGGTAGATCAGAGCCCTTACCAGGGTGGGCTTCTGTGAAGAGCAGCCCACTGGGGAGCAGGGGCTTTGTGTAGGAGTCAGCCTGGCAAGGAGGAATTAATCCTCAGGAGGCCAACCAGCAGAAGCCAAAACTGATTTGCCTCAAGATGTTCCTTGCAAAGTTACCACAGCAAAAACTTAAAAAAAAAAAAAAAAAAAAAAAAAAAGCTGTCCAGTGAGAGAGATCCTGGCAACCCACTCAGTGGAGTCTCATGGTTCTCTGAACAACATGGAAAAGGTTTGTGGTATGAAGCTGAGTTGCCATCACACTATGTCCTCTTAAGAATGACTCACAGGAACAATTTCTTAATCTCAGTGCCAGGAAACTCTGTGTTTCTCCAGGACAGCTGCTTTGCTTTTACCTTTTGGGTTCTACATATCTGTTAGCTGACCATGTTTCCCTTTTGGCTTTGACTACCAGGAAGCTCCCGCATCACATCTATGGTTCATCTCTCACAACTGCATGATGGGGATTTTGTAAGCCAACACTGCTGTTGGCTTCATTTTCTTTTCCTTCTTCCAAATATCTTTCTATTTATTCATAATCCTCTTGTATGCTGTATTTGTAAACTTCAGGTTTTTTTTATTGGAATGTAGTAGAGAGGAGAAAGAATAAGAGTTAAATGGAAAAACATGAAAGGAAGTCATTCTACTAAACAAATTCATTGAGTCTCTTGTAGAAATAAAATGTTGGACTGTGTAATTGGTGGATGTTAGAAATAATGACCATAAATAAATGGCTGGTAAAGTAGGAAAATGCACAATAAAACAATGAAATAACACTTTTCACCCAGAAAGCTGTCAAAAATTGGTTCCGACAATGCTGAGAGTTGGCATAACAATCACTAATAGACAATCTCGCTGTGAGGAGAGTGCTGATGAATTGGAAGCATGGCACCCATAGAGACCCACACAGGCATGACTCGGAAATTATACGCCTGACTATGGGAACTGTGGAGGCATGCTTGGCTGCATGCAGAGATTTTCCAGAAAATGATCATTTCAGTGTTGTTTGCAGTAGCAAAAAAAAAAAGAAAGAAAAGAAACATTCTACATGTCCTCAGTAGAAAGAAAAGTAAACTGTGGTCTAACCATGCACTTGAGGGCTATACAACAATTAAAACGAATGAATCAGAGCCATGTGATCTCAAGCAAGCTCAAAACATAAAGTTAAACAAAAATAGCAAACTGCAGAAGATATATAAGCTTAGTTCCATTTCTACAAAGCTTAAAACTGCACTTGAACTGTCTTGTTCGTGGGTCCATGTGTGTGTCACACGTTATAAAGGCACGAATGAGAAGAACAAAAAACACCTGGGTTGGGACAGAAAGATGAGGCGCAAGATGATCCAGGAGGGATCTCTGAGCACTGGGTTCAGGGGGGTGGGGGTGGATTATATTAGTGGCAGTTCTTCCTGGTACAGCTAACATGTTTCATTAAAAAGAAAAGCAACAGGAACACTGTTGTACACATGGTGAGTGTACCACCATCACACCTGCATCAGCACAGGGATGGCAAGGACAGGTGTGGAAAGCCTGGGTGTTGGGGAGGCAGGAACCTGGAGAGCACTCGACACCAGTGTCCTGGTGCTTCCTGAGAAGATGGGAAGGCAGCAGTCGCTGTGATGTGGCTCTGTTGCAGGCTTTGTGGTCCAGGGCTCCACTGGCGAATTCCCCTTCCTGACCAGCATCGAGCGCCTGGAGGTGGTGAGCCGTGTGCGCCAGGTCATGTCCAAGGAAAGACTCCTGCTAGCTGGCTCCGGCTGCGAGTGTGAGACCATAGTGCTCCAAGCCCTGGGGTGGCTGCGCTGTGGGGTCCTTGGCCCTGGCATTGGGTTCTGTTTACTCATTCTACCTTTTCTGGGACATGCTGAGACCCCTTTGCTTGCCCCAGTCTGTTGACCCAGGCCTTCTTCCTCCTGCTCTGTCCTCCCCCTCCCTCCTGTAGCCACTCAAGCTACTGTAGAGATGACTGTCAGCATGGCACAGGTCGGAGCTGATGCTGCCATGGTCGTGACCCCTTCCTACTATCGTGGCCGCATGGACAGTGCTGCTCTCATTCATCACTATACCAAGGTGGGTGCAAGGGGGAGGCCTGAGGCCAAGAAGAGCTGGCTGGAGCAGAGGCTTTGTTTGGGGAGAGAACACAGAGAAACTGGAAGAGGAGTGGTGAGCCTACTTCGTGTGAATGGGCGCTATGGGATATGGGTAGAATGCTACCATGTACATCTATGTGACATCAGGCAACTTACCTAACCACTCTGTGTCACCGTTTCCTCTCAAAAATGGTAGGAAAAGCTGGTTGAGTGGCTCAGGTGGTAGAGCTTCTCCCTTGCACATGTGAAGTCCTGAATTCAAATCCCAGGACCACTAAAAAAGCAAAACAAAAAGGGAGGAATGCTGGAGTTGTTCAGGGCTGATTAATGAGGTCTGGAACACAAAGGGTTTTGAGCTGAGCCTGGTATACATAAAGCACTCAGTAGGTATGTCCCAGCATTGCTGCTCAGTTCAGAAGGTAGCCCTGCAGAGATGCAGGCCAGGACCTTCTGGGGGCAAGCCTTAAGCTCTGAGGACCTGGGGTGACTGCCCTCTCCCCCTTTTCTCTGTACCCCTCAGGTTGCTGACCTCTCTCCAATCCCCGTGGTGCTCTATAGTGTCCCAGCCAACACGGGGTTGGACCTGCCTGTGGATGCGGTGGTCACACTTTCCCAGCACCCGAATATTGTGGGCATGAAGGACAGCGGTGGTGATGTAAGTAGCAGCAGCTCCCAGGCTGGGCCCCCTTCTCCTCCAGTTCTAGCATGCTAACTACTAACTTCTGGGCAGCTCTGAGACCCGGGCTTCTGCTTGGGTTCTCTCTTTCTGGTGGGCTCTTTGGGGACTCTGTCTGAACTTGAGGACATCTTTCTGGGAACTGGGCTGTCATTTGGTAGCACTTGTTAAGCTTTTCCAGGCTGGTGGCTGAGGCTCTGGGTATTACTCTCTTACTGAGTTTGCTGTTGCAGGTGACCAGGATTGGGCTGATTGTTCACAAGACCAGGAAGCAGGATTTCCAGGTGTTGGCTGGATCCGTTGGCTTCCTGCTGGCCAGCTATGCTGTAGGTAGGCTCCTTGCAGCTCTCAAACTGTCACCTGGCAGCTTGGTCTGTTGGGAGAGACCGAGAGGCTCAAGACTAGGTCTGCAGAGGTTGACTTGCCAGAAACCTGGCAGCCACCCTGCTTGCTCATCTGAACCCCGGGTGCTTGTGAGTGACCTTGTTGAATGAAGGAAGGTGACTGTGTATAACCCCTGGCCCAAGTTCCCAGCTTAGATGACAAATATAGCTCCCTTAATCTCACCTTGTAAATAATTCTTTGAGGGCAGAGATCTGGGCCTCCCCTCCAGGCCAGGAGTCCTTTTCCTGCCCCCTTTCCCCAAGGCCAGAATGAATTGTCAGAACTGCAGGGTCGGACCAGGGACCTGTATCTGCCTGGGCAGATTCTTTTCTAGTCCAGAATCCTAGGAATGCCACTTAGACCAACTGCTTTTGTTTGTTGGGGGTCAAGGTCCTTGGGTTCAGATGGGCCCTGGAGCGGGGTGGGGAAGGGCAGCATCTGCTCCCTTCACCCGAAGCCCTGGGAGTTCAGATTTTAGTGGCTTTTCCACTACTGCAGGGGACCGCACTATATTCCCTCAGGGCTCTGTGGATTTGAACTTGTCAAGGTTCTTACACATCTCCTCTTTGCCATGTCACAAGCTCTGAAGTGTAGGGAAGGAAGAGGGGACACATTTCCACCTCCTTTCTCAGGGTATAGATGGAAAGAGCAAGGACTCAAGAGTGGAGGCATCCAAACTGGAATCTCAGCTCTGGTGTCTACTGAGACTGAGGGCCAGGCACTCAACCTGTCTGGGTCTGAGTTTCTACTCTTCAAAGCAAAACATAGTTGGTGTTTTATAAATGGCACTGGCGTCAGCTTATTCCAAATTGTCTCCTCTCTCTCCAGTCTTGAGGCCACTGTGCTTAGGATCACTCCTGACTTGCCTTAGAATCGAAGGCTGGCAGAGGTGTGGGGCTGAAAACACAGTCAATCCACTTTCATCTCCCAGATGAGAAGAAAGGGGATGAGAGAGGATCTGCAGCATGTCTGAGATCATGCGGCCAATGGAGGACACACCCAGTCTTCTGACCATGGGCCCAGATCTCTTTTCACTCAGCTACCTCAACCCCCACTGGGGCCCCAGGTTGATTTCACCACGGCTCTCATCCACTCCTGCCCTTCCAGGGCTGATGAGCCAAGAGGCTGTTCAGATGTCACTGAAGGGGTCAAGGACAGGTGGGACCTGGCTCCTGGAGGAGGGTGCAGGGAAGGAGCTGTCCTTCACAGCTCTGAGCAGCTACTGGGCTGCAGGATTATCTTTTGAATATGCAGGCAGCTTTTCTCCCTGGCAATGCATCCTGTGGACTCACAGAGCACTGTGATGTGGCCCCTGGTGGCATAGAAACCCATATTTATGTCCCCAGAATGAAGTCTGGGGAGCAGAGTTTGGGATTCTCTGTGGGAAGCAGCTCAACTAATGTTCTTTATCTTGCTTGGGGCAGGTGCTGTGGGGGGCATATGTGCCTTAGCCAATGTCCTGGGGGCCCAGGTGTGCCAGCTGGAGCGCCTCTGCCTCACGGGGCAATGGGAAGACGCTCAGAAGCTACAGCACCGTCTCATCGAGCCCAATGTTGCGGTGAGCTGCCAGTCAAGGACATAGGGAAGGGGCCTCTGTGTCCTCATTGGAATAGGTGCCAGGGCTGGCAAGGGATCCAGCTCAGTTCCTTCCCTTTCAGAAAGTCCTTTTAGAGAACATCCCAGTGTGGGAACTCCTTATAAAAGCCTCCCTAGAAAATCCTGGCTGCAGATGAGTTGAGCCCCTTCAGTTCTTGAGCTCAGTGTTCATTAGAATTCCCATGAGGGCTAATGTACTATGAAACAAGCATCCTGAGTGACTGTGAAATCAGTAATCTTGGGACCATTCTTAGAGATGCACTGCCTGGAACCAAAGACCGAAAATCAGAATGATTCAGAGCAGTTAAAGGGGAGTTTGGGGGGCTGATGGAGGTTCAGAGCCCACATTTTCCAGGAGAGTCTTGTGTTCAAATAATCTGTCCTGTAGTCAGACTATGTGTCCCAATTCTGTAGTACAGAATTGTGTAAGTCAAGAAGAATTTAAGACCAAGCTTGTCAACATCAAAGCCATCTTGAAGTCTCAGGCAAACAGAAAGAAAAATGTGTACCTATATAGATATGTTTGCTTTGAGACAAGATCTTGCTATGTAGCCCAGGCTGGCCTCAAACTTGCAATATTCTTACCACAACATCCTAAATTCTGGGATTACAGGTGTGCATCATCATTCAGCTATTTTATGTCTATTTATTTATTTTGCGGTACTGGGGCTTGAACTCAGGGTCTTCACCTTAAGCCACTCTACTAACCCTTTTTTTGTGATGGTTTTTTTCAGGATAGAGTCTTACAAAGTATTTGCCAGGGCTGGCTTTGAACCACGATCCTCCTGATCGCTGCCTCCTGAGCAGCTAGGATTACAGACATGAGCCTCCGGTGCCCAGCAATGTTACTTATTTTTGAGACAGTCTCATTACATTATGCAGGCTGCCCTTAAATTCCTGGACACAAGTGGTCTTCCTGCCTTAGTCCTGAGTCTTGAGTAGCTGAGTCCATGTGCTACTACGTACAACTTTTTTTTTTTTTTTTTTTTTTTTGTGGTACTGGGGTTTGAGCTCAAAGCCTTAGGCAGGTGCTGTACCTAAGGACTCTGCCAGTCCTGTTTTGTGTCGGGTGTTTTCAAGATAGGATCTTGGGAACTATTTGCCAGGCTGGCTTCAAACCTCCATCTTCCTGATCTCTGCCTCCTGAATAGCTAGGATTATAGCATGAGCCACCAGCACCTGGCTTGTACAACTTTTTATACACTTTAAGATAAGCTTTGTGTCTTGAGATAATTGTAGATTCATATGCAGTTGCAAGAAGTAATATGGAGAGATGCCATATACTACTTTCTCCCAACGGTAATTTCTTACAGATCTGTAGAATAACTTCACCATGTTGGATAGAATATGGGATATTGACATACACAAATACAGAATATTGCTGTCAGCACAAGAATCCCTCATGTGACACTCTTACACCACACCCACTCAGTACAGCTCCCATCCTCCTCAACTCCTGATAACCCAAATATGTTCACCATTTTTATAATTTTGTCAGTCCAAACTATACCATATAGAAGAAGCATATACTCTATAACTTTGGGGGATTGCTTCTTTCACTTGACCTAGTACTCTGGAGATTCATCCAGGATGTTACACATATCAATAGGTATTCCTTTTTATTGATAAGTATTTCATGGTATGACTGAATTGCAGCCTGTTTAACCATTCACCATTGAAAAGGAGCTGGGTTGTTTCAAGTCTTTGTCTATTAAAGACTGCTCTTTAAAAAAATTTTTTTTAAACCTGTGTACAGGTTTTTGTGTGACTGTAAGTTTCCATTTTCTGGGATAAGTATACAACAGTGAAATTGATGGGTTGTATGAAGGTTGCATGTTTAGTTTTTTAAGTAACTGCATAGCCAGGCATAGTGGTTCATGCCTGTAATCCCAACACTCAGGAGGCTGAGGCAAGAAGATAGAGTGTGAAGCCAACCTGAGAGGGACCCTGTCTCAAAAAAAAAAAAAAAAAAAAAAAGCCCTGGAACCAGTGGCTCACGCCTGTAATCCTACCTACTCAGGAGGCAGAGATCAGGAAAATTTCAGTTTGAAGCCAGCCTGGGCAAGTAGTTCACAAGACCCTATCTTGGAAACACCCATCACAAAAAAGGGCTGATAGAGTGGCTCAAGTTGTAGGCTCTGAGTTCAAACCTCAGTACCACAAAAAAAAAAAGAACTGTTTTCCAGAGTGACTATGCCATTTTATGTTTACACTAATGTAAATGTACGTGTGATCCAGTTTCTCTGCATCCTCACCAGCATTTGGATGTTTCATTTTAGCTGGTCTTCTACAGAAACATCCCATTGTGGTTTTTCATCTCATTGTGCACTTTTCTGATGTCCTTATTTGTCATGTCTTCGTCACTCAAATGTCTGTTTATGTCTCTTTCTCATTTCACTTTTTCTTTCTGGTGCTGGGGATCGAACCTAGGCTACACACATATCAAATGTGTGCTGTACCACGGAGCGCCAACCTCAGCCCTTCCGTTGCCCATTTACAAATTTTTTTCTATTCCTTCTTTCTCTTTTTTTTTTTGGTTCGTTGGTTGGGTTTTTTGCTGTTGAGTTTTGAAATTTCTTTTGTTGTTGTTGTACTGGGTGGGGGTACATTGTGGCATGTACAAAAGTTCTTACAACGTATCATACTTGAATTTCCCCCTCTACAATTCTCCTTCATTCCCCCTCCTCCTTGAAAGTTCTTTATGTCTTGTAGATAACTAGTCCTTTGTTGGCTATGTGATTTGTGAATTGTAAACATTTTCTCCCAGCTTGTGTTTTCTCTTTACAGGTTTTTTTTTTTTAAACCAAGAAAAAAAATTATCAGTATTCTTTTTTTTTAATGGTATTGGAACTTGAACTCAGGGCCTCACACTTGCTAGGCAGGAGCTCTACCATTTGAGCCATTCCACCAGTCCTTTTTTTGTGTTGGGTGTTTGCAAGATAGGGCCTCTGGAACTATTTGCCCAGGCTGGCTTCAAACTGCAATCCACCTAATCTCCGCTTCCTAAGTAGCTAAGATTACAGGCGTAGGCCACCATGACCCGGCTCAATTTATCTATAGTCTTTAATGAATCATGCTTTTAGTGTCCAGTCTAAGAATTCTTTTTTTGCACTAGATTGTAACTATTTTGTTTCTTCAAAGTTTTATCATTTTACATTCTACAAGTTTGTGACCCATTTTGAGTTAATTTTTGTATGAAGTGTGAGACTTAGGTCAAGTTTTTCTTTCTTTCTCTTTTGTCTATGAATATCCGCTTGTTCCAGCACCATTTGTTGAAAAAGCTTCCTTTCCTCCATTGAATTGCTTTTGTACCTTTGTCAAAAATCAGTGGGTCATATTTGTGTGGATCTATTTCTGAATTCTCTATTCTTTCCATTGATCTGTGTGTCTATCCCTCCACAATACCACACAGACTCACTTGTTATGGCTATATAATAAGTGTTAAAATAAGTCTTATAGTAGACCGAGTCTTCCCACTCTCTTCTTTTTTTTTTTTTCTCAAAAAGTTATTTTAGCTAGTCTAATTCTTTTGCCTTTCCATAAACATTTTATCATAATTCTGTCTATATCTACAAAAACAATCTTGGTAGGATTTGAGTAGGACTGGCATTGAACCTGTTTACCAGATAGCATGGTTGATGTCTTCACTACACTGTCCTCCATTCCTTCCAATTCATGGTGTATCTCTCTACGTAGTTAAACCTTCTCGATTTTTTCAGCATTTTGTAGTTTCAAGTAAAGAAGTTTGTACATGCTTTGAGAATTGTGTACCTAAGTAGTTCATGTTTTTATGCAACTGAAAATGGTACTTTAATTATCTATGTGTTCATTGCTAGTATTTAGAAACATAATTTTTGCATGTTAATTCAGTAACCTGTAGGATACTGGAATTTTTTTTTTTTTTTGGTTTTCTTTTTTCTAATTCCTTGGGATTTTCCATATAAATAATCATATAACTTATTCATCTATAAATAAGGACAGTTAATTCTTTCCTTTCTCTTCTATATGTTTTTATTTCCTTTTCTTGCCTTATTGTGTTGACTACAACTTCCTGCACTATGTTGAATAAGATTGTTGGTTCCTGCTCTTAAGTTAAAGTATCAGCCTTTCATCATTAAGTATAACATTACCTCTGGGGTTTGTAGGTGCTTTTTTTTTTTTTTATCAAGTTGAGAATATTACCCTCTATTCCTAGTTTTCTAAAAGTTGTTTACGCTCGTGAATGGGTGCTGAATTTCATATGGTGTTTTTCTGCAGTGATTGACAAGGTCGTGTGAGTGTTTCTTTTTTAATTAATTGATATAAAGCAGTTAATTTCAAATATTTGACACAGATTTTCTTCCTTGGAATGAACCTCACTTAGTCTTGTTATATAATTCTTTTGATATGTTGCTGAATTTCATTTGCTAATATTTTGTTAAGGATTTTTAGTGGTACATTTTTTACTTTTTGGTGGTATTGGTGTTTGAACTCAGGACCTCTAGCTTGCTAGGCAAGTGCTCTATCACTTGAGCCATGCCCCCAGGCCTGTTAAGGATTTTTGTGTTTATATTCATGAGGAATAGTGGTCTGTAGTTTTCATTTTTTTTCTTTTTATACACACCCTTAGTCTGGTTTTGGTATCAGGGTAATAATAGCTTCCTTCTTTTCTGTTTTCTGGAAGAGACTTATAGAACTAGTATTAAATCTTATTTAAACATTTTTGTAGAATTCTCCAGTTGAAACTAATTAGGCCTGGAGTTGTCTTCTGTGAGAGTTAAAAAAAATTACACCTCTCAGGCGGAGGGGTAGATGCCAGCCATAGTGCCACACACCTGTCAGAAACCCAGTACTTGGGAGCCTTACACAGGAGGATTGAGAGTTCCAGGCCAGCCTGGGCTACATAGTGAGACCTAGTCTTAAAAAAACAAAGAAACAAACAAAAAAAATAACTCACAGGTATAGTGCTTATCTAGTTTATCCAGCACCCCTCCCTGACAAAAAGTTATACCTCTGCACTAGGCTGTGTGCTGGGCTTCTGATATCTCCCTGGCTGGAGGAGTAGGGTGCCTCCTTTACTGCTCCCCATGTGTCTCCATTGACATCACCTGTGCGTCTGTGGGGGTGGGCAGGACTGGGGTAGACTCTGATGGCCTCCTTAATGGTGAGCAGTAACAAAAAAAGTCCTGACTCTCCTCCACTAGACCTCCTCTGACACCATCCAGCTTGGAGTCAGGGCAGGTGTGGTAGAGTTCAGGCTTCCTTATTCAGCCTTTCCTGGCCTGGGTAGGCATGGGGCCACTGTTCACTCCATCGTTTCTGGCTGGAGAGTCGTTGTGTTTCAACTTGCCAGACTGCCCCTTTCCTGGCCTTTGGCTAGAGAGAACTGGCTTTTGTTGGGACTTTTCTTGCCTGTGCCCAGTGCTATTTTATGGTTGCTGCCTTCAGCTCCGAGTCTGGGCAGGGAACTCACCACTGTGTTGTTCCTTGCAGCTTAGTTGGTTTTTCTTCTCTGCCTTTCAGAGTCTTCTTTTTTTTTTTTCTTTTATTATTCATATGTGCATACAATGCTTGGGTCATTTCTCCCCCCTGCCCCCACCCCCTCCCTCTCCCCCCCACCCCCTCAATACCCAGCAGAAACTATTTTGCCCTTATTTCTAATTTTGTTGAAGAGAGAGTATAAGCAATAAGAAGAAGGAACAAGAGTTTTTGCTGGTTGAGATAAGGATAGCTATACAGGGCATTGACTCACATTGATTTCCTGTGCGTGTGTGTTACCTTCTAGGTTAATTCTTTTTGATCTAACCTTTTCTCTAGTTCCTGGTCCCCTTTTCCTATTGGCCTCAGTTGCTTTTAAGGTATCTGCTTTAGTTTCTCTGCGTTAAGGGCAACAAATGCTAGCTAGTTTTTTAGGTGTCTTACCTATCCTCACCCCTCCCTTGTGTGCTCTCGCTTTTATAATGTGCTCAAAGTCCAATCCCATTGTTGTGTTTGCCCTTGATCTAATGTCCACATATGAGGGAGAACATACGATTTTTGGTCTTTTGGGCCAGGCTAACCTCACTCAGAATGATGTTCTCCAATTCCATCCATTTACCAGCGAATGATAACATTTCATTCTTCTTCATGGCTGCATAAAATTCCATTGTGTATAGATACCACATTTTCAGAGTCTTCTTATATCTGTTCTACATAATGGCCAGAGACAATACATCTACCTTCCTGAAAGGAGAAGCTCTAACTAAGTGACTTCCCACCTCACAAGAACATTAACGGAGCCGAAAAAAATACATTACAATATGGGTGTATAAAAACTCACAGCATTATTTTTAGGTTTAAATATTTTATGTATACTAAAACATAATTTATTATAATTTTACTTTCCTGGCTTCAGTGGAAGCAAACTATTAAAACATTTTTTCCAACTCTACTTGTAGGAAACAAATTTATTTTTTATAGTTCTGGAGTTTGAACTCAGGGCTTCGTGCTTACAAAGCAGGTGCCTTATCACTTCAGCCATTCCTCTGGTCCCCAATTTTTTGGGAGGAAGTACTGGGGTTTGAACTCGGGCCTCATACTTGCTAGGTAAGGCGCTCTACCACTTAAGCCATTCCACCAGCTCCATCCCAATTTTTTTAGTGTGTATATGGGGGTACACATTCACTTTTGCCTCAGGCTATAATATGACCTCAGGATCCTGTTACATACTTTCTTGGTTTAAAACTGTTCATTATGGAGTGTGTGTGTGTGTTGATTTTGATTTTTAAAAAATATTGTAATGAAAAAAAATTTTTGGATGTGCTGGGAATTTAACCCAGGGCCTTATACATGCTAGGCAAGAGCTCTAACATTGAACTACATCCTCAGCCCTTGAAATATTCTTTTTCTAATCACTGAATTTTTTGTTTCCTTCTCCTTGTATCAGAGGCCATGTCCCTCTGGCTTCCCTGATAGTCCCAGCCGTACAGTGGCAGACCATCTCTAGTAGTGATTTTTTGGGTAGTGATGGATGGGTTCTCGACCTCTCTCCCAGCTTGTGTCCTTCCTCAAAGGGGCAGACTAATTCAGCTTTAGAGGAAGGAAGATAAGGAGGAAATCACGAGTGTTCCTGGATGGGAAGCTTCTCTTGGCATCTACACTCTATAAATAGGTTGTAAGAACTTGCAGAAATGAGGACCTTTCAGCTAAGCCCATAGGCACACGGGCTGCCTTAAATATGGTAGACATTCCCCTGGGATGGGACCTGCTCTCCCACTCCCATCCACCCGTGAAAGAGAAGGTTCCAGCACCTGCATTCTACCAGAACAGGAAAAGAAGGAGGCACTTCCAGGACCCCTGGGAACTGATCTAATATTAGTGGTGTTTTTCTCATCTGATCCTTGTAACATCTCTATGTGTAGGTGTTGTTATCACCTCATTTGACAGACCAAGCCTCTTGGGCTGCCCCTTGGAAAGACAGGAAACCCAATCGTCATTCCAGCTCCTTGCATGTCATCCTGCTTTACCCCATCCTGACTTGGACTGCATTCTGTACCCCTCAGTGTCAGCTCTGGGCACATACTCAGGAGTGCTTGGAATACTTTGTTGCTGCCTGGGCTGTAGGCTCAGATACCTCAAGAGCAGCCTGATGTCACTCTATTGCCCTTCCCTGGTTGAACACAATGTCCCTGCTTTCCCACCCAGTCAGCCTCCTGCCCCTGGCTATATTTAGGACTTCCTATGGTCTTTACCACCAAAACAGCTAGCCCCTGTCAGAGGCTGAAGATGGGGCATATCAGTTATCTTCAAAAACACATGGTAGGAACTAGCCTTTCTTCAGATACTGCTTAGTTCCATCCCCTCCCATAGATGTTTCCCACTTACAGGGGTTTTGGGTTAAAAAGCCAGGCTATTAGAACATCATGGATAGGACTAGGCCAAGGAGGATGGTAGCTTACCATCCATTCCAAGAAAGAAGTCCATGCCTACTAAAGCCGACTAGCCTCTAATGATGAATGACTGATGAATTGTCAGTCATTCATCAGGGGTTCTCATCCTATCTACTCCAAATGGTTTTGTCTTCCTTCCAAAGAGAACTTTATTAAGTAATTATTTCTGTCTTAGTTTTTTTTTGGTACTGGGGTTTGAACTCAGGGCCTCACACTTGCTATGCAGGTGCTTTACCACTTCAACCACACATCCACCCCTTTTTGCTCTATGTATTTTTGAGATAGGGTCTCCCTTTTTGCCCAGGTCCCCTGAACTGCAGTTCTCCCTCAATAGCTGGGATGAGCCAGGTACTTGTGGCTCACTCCTAGCTACTCAGGAGACAGAGATCAGGAGGACCACAGTTGGAAGCCAGCCTGGGCAAATAGTTCTCAAGACCCTATCCCAAAAAAACCCATCACATAAAAAACTTTGAATCTCCACCTCCTTTGTAGCTAGGATTTACAGGAGTGAGTCACTGGTGTCTGTCTTTCCTTCCTAATTTTATGTTGTCAAAAATTCATCTAACACTACTGATCAGTACAAAATAACCAGATGCTATAACAAAAGGAAAGAAATTTGATGCCTCATTTATTCTGTAAAATTCCATGCATGATTTTAAGCTATGACAATACCTTTAGGTCCCCCACTATAACAGACAAGCCTTTAGAGATCATGTTGTACAGACCTTTCATTTTGTTTATCAAGAGAACTTGCTCAGATAATAAGGAAATAGCACACAATTACACAACAACAAAACTTCTTTGCATACATTTTTTCCTGTGAGAGCATTTAAACATGGTCAGGAAGGTACATGGGGGACCCTGATGGCAGGGGACTAAGGGGCTAGGCTGTGCCAAGGCTTTCATAGACAATTTCCTTTCTGACTTCCCAGGCTTGCTGTGTCTGGGTCAAGCTTAAGAGAACTGGCTGCAACCTGGTGATGCTCTACTTCCTTGACCTTGCTGTCTTCTCTGATTCCATCTTGAGGGCTGAATGCCACTATCTTTCTTTTGGGGTGATTTTTTTTTTTCTTGTAAAACCAAAGGAGGTGCCTTCCTTTCTCCATTTGATGTTTTTGCACTTTGCTGTCTATTACTGATATGCTTTCTGGTCTCTAAATCTGAATTCTTAGTCTACTCTGGGGGCCACAGATTTGGTAGAGTTCCTTTACTGGGGGAGGAGGGTGAGAACCCAAACTTTTTGAAAGTGACAGATAGCTAGGTCCCAGGTAGGTATGTACAGTTTCTTCTAACAGGTTCTGCTTCTCAGGTGACTCGGCGCTTTGGGATCCCAGGGCTGAAGAAAACCATGGACTGGTTTGGCTACTATGGAGGCCCTTGCCGTGCCCCCTTGCTGGAGTTGAGCCCCACTGAGGAAGAAGCGCTGCGTGTGGATTTCAGCAGCAATGGCTGGCTCTGAGGACAAGCAGGGCATACCTGGCCTGAGCCACCGCAGTCTCCTGCCTTGCTCCCCCAGCCTGAAGAGGAGCAGGGGGACTACAGGTTGGGGCTCCTTTTCCACTTCATCCCTCCAGCTGGCCTTTCACTAGGCACCTTCAGTCTCCACTTCTCACAGCCCGTGATTTCTCAGCTGTGTGCCCTGGATGCCCAGTCTCTAGAGACTGGGAGCAGTTCCTTTCTTGTCACTTTACCCTGATTACTTTCCTCTGCCTCATGGTCCATGAACTGGGAGTCAGGAGGAAAGAAACAAAGTAGCAACTGGACATTAAGGGAATCGGTTACTGAAGAGACTGGTTAGACTTTGGGCCACAAACCTGAGTCTAGCATGATACAGCTGGAAGCCAGGCCACTCCTAAGAACCCAAGTTCTGACTCCTTCCAGAGAAAGCAGCAGGTCGGGAAACCTGATCGGGCAAGTGGTGCTGTGGTCTTGGAAAGGCCCCCAAGCTGCATTCCAGCCACACTGCCCTTCCCTAAGTCTATTCATGCCTCTCATATTCCTGTCTCTAGCTTTGATTCCCAGCATCAAATGTACCAACACAGACCAGTGACTTGTCAGATTGGTAAATAATGACACCTGGTGGATAGACACCTGGTCTACATCCTAGAAGACTATTTTGCCTAGCCCAGGTCTGAAACACTAGGGAAGGGGACTTGGCCTGAGACAGGGCCATCTCTTGTCTGCATGGACTCTGCTTTTATTATTAAGAATGATCACTTTGTTACTATAATAAAGTTTAACAAGTAAAAGTAATGTGGCTTTGTTCTAGGTTTCCTGGCCAGATGTCAAGAACTTTTCTCTAGGCAATTGAGTCCTCATTGTCTTCCTTTTCCCAGGTCTGAGGGAGGCCCTAGAAATGCTGAGCAAATAGCCATTAGTGAGTGGTGGCCTAGGAAAGGCTTAATATTTTCCTTTTTAAAGGTAGTCTCTGGGGTGGGTCAAGGAAGACAGACACACAAAGCATGGAGTACTTATAACATCGCAGAGGCACTGGCCTCCACTCAGCTCTGAGAGGCTTTCCATGTAGGTTCAGACTCCTCTACTCCCAATGGGTAGCAGCCAGGCAGGGCACAACCTGCATCTCTGTCTGGCCTATACCTGCCTTTGATCTGTACCTCTTTGATCCAGTTGCTCTTTGGTCTCTTGGGCCTTGGTGGCCTCTTCCTCACCCACAGGACTGGCCCGCACAGCATCCATCAGGGTTAGGTCTCCATGTTTTGGTCTTTTTGTCAACTGACCCCATGCCCCACAAATGGGACAGTCACAGGGGAGTGGCGAGAGTCTATGTTGTGGGCTTACCGATCAACTTGAACTTTGGAGGTGGTCCAGACAGCAAGACCTGGACATTTCAAGCCAAGATCACCAATAGCCAGATGAGATTGAAAGTGCCTTCTGTGGGAGAGCTGACCCTCATTACAGCAAAATGACCACAGAAAGGACTCGAGGAACTTGTCTGTATTCTAGTGCTGTTCTAGGAACCCTGCTCTTCAGCCAGCCACCCACATCTCGCTCAGAGCAGAGAACAGGACTGCCACCCTGAGCCCTAAGATGGGTGAGTGGGTCAGGGTTTGGATCCCTAACAGCCTGAATGCTCAGCAGAACTGCTCACCTAAGAGAAGCTGAGTGTGGCTCCAGGGTGCTGAGGTCAAGCTCTTTCCCACTTCTCTTGTGTGGTTGTCTCTACTGTGTGCTTCTGCCCACGAAGGAGTCCCACTGGCCTAGAACCTGGAGTTCTTGTCTTCTTTTCAGGTGTGAATCAATATCTTAGGCTTTGTGCAGGGGAAAGTAAAAGCCTTCCCCTCCAAAAATAAATAAATAAAAAATAAAGTAGGCTTTGAAGAATCATGTTTATTTGTATCATTTATCTTGTATTTGTTCACTGCTTTTTTTTTTTTTTTTTTTGAGACAGCATCTCAGTGGGTAGCCCAGGCTGGCCTCAAGCTCTTGGGCTAGAGTGGCTCTCCTGCCTCAGGCTCCTGAGTACTGGGACTATAGGTATGAGTGCTCACCACTACACTAGAGACTCAATAGTTCCCAGTGGGAGAATAAGAGGCGAGAGGGCACAAATGGGATATTTAGAAATTCTGCACAAGTCAAAAGGCTGGCTTCTCCAAAATGTTCACCTTTTTCAGTGGTAATATGTGACCAGTGGCACATAAAAAGAGGTAAATATATCCCTGTTTGGGGCACAGGCTAGAGAAGACTATAAAAGATAATCTTCAAAACTGGGCATCAGATGGCACTAAAGCTTGGACTTGGTCCCTGGGCTCCTCTCACAGTTACGAACCAGAGGGACAGGGCTTAGGGTGAGGGAGAAAGCTGGGGTTTGGGAGGCAGACTAGTGTACTAAGAGTTCAGCCTCTAGGCTTCAAGAAGCCTGGGTTGAAGTTCTGGGATCTGCTCCCTTGTGTCTACGAGACTTTGGGGAAGCAACCTACCTTCTCTGAGCCTCATCTATAATACAGGGATGATAATCATACTTTCCTCCCAGGGCTGTGAGGGACTGAGTAGGACCATGCATATGAATGGGTTAATATGGACATTTCATTACTTGTTGCAGGCAGGAGTTGACTTACTTGAGGTCACCCAGGAGGTCTGACAGTAACTAGTCTGAGGCCTTATAAGAAAAGTCCAGTGGAAAGGGAGTTGGAATCAGAAAGACTGGGATAGAAATGCCACTCGCTATGCCATTTACTAGTGTGAGCAACCCAAGCCTTTCTGATAAAAAAAAAAGTTCACACCTTCTACTCTGCAGAGGTTCTGAGAATTAGATAACATTATATAGTGAAGTGTGCAGTGTAAACTCCAAGCCCCACTCTGATTAATGTTTACAAACAGCAAGTGGGTTGATATTCATGAGGATGCAGGGCAAGAAAGTCATGAAAACTAAGGACAGGCAGTTCTATGATTTGTTTATTCTTATAAACACGTTTCTATAATACAGTTCAGAGAATAAGTAGAGGCACATGGCTATAATTTCCACCACAGTCTGCTGTTGAGGGAGATTTAGTGTGAGGATGGGAGCTGGGGGGTATGTCCAGGTCCTGGGCTAACTGGAGGCCTTGAGATGAACTGTGCAGGGATCTTACCCACCATGTTTTGACCCAGGCCTGAGCGCCGAGAAGAGTGGAAGAGTCACACAGAGTCAAATGTGGGAAGCCAATGCTCTGTTATTTCACTGTAGTCCTAGGATAGGTCTCAGTCTACCTATACCCAAGGGGTTGTAGTGGTTCTGATCCACTGGCCCACAGGGAAAGAAATGTGTCAGTCCAAGCCTTCCCTAGAACTCATGTCACTCTGGGGAGACCTAACTAGGTCTGCCCTTTGCACTGGAATGAATACTAAATACAAGTTAAAAGATTACTTTCATGTCAGCTTCTTCCCATAAAAGGATCCTCTGACATCTAAGGAGAGAAGCATAAATGGGGATTGGATTATCTGCCAGAACTCAGATAAGGAAGACAGCTTGCAAAGTTCAGGGGGAAGAAAACAGCACTTCAACAGATGCTTCAGAGAGGGAATAAGCAGAGACAGAGATCAGTCTGATCAGGTGAAGTGGGAGCCTGAAGCCAGGACTCCAACTGCAGTGAATGAGGGGGTAACATACAGAAAAGCTCTGGCCTTGACTTTCACAGAATTACTGTACTGCCTAAGCCACCCCTATCTTTTTCCTTATTTTCCTAGGGCAGCAAAAAGCACTGGCCCTAAAGTAGGACTAGAATCATCTGCCCCAAATGTAGGCAGAATGAAGAGATTCTGAATCACTTGGCAGTAAATGGAATGAAGGTCACAGCAGGTTTGCACTGGGTAACCTAACCCAAGGCCTCAGGAACAAGGAATATCAACAAATAAGAAGATAGCTCCTCTGTCCTCTAGCACATAAGGGCTAGGGAAAGACAGAACTGCTAACTGCTGCAGGGTCTTTGGGCCAAAATCCTCAGTACTTTCCTGTGATTAAATTCCTGATTGGCAGGTGGGTGATGGGGCATATCACAGGCTTCAGCTCTGTCATCATTCTCATATCTGGTTCATTCATTCACCTTGAGTGAACAAGGGGGCATTGGCTTTAACCGACACTTTTCTGGCTGGTGCCCAATGCTCCATCAGGCAGTAAGGTTTCTGGCAGACTTGGAGGCACTCTGGGCCCGCTGAACCACTGTGGAACACTTCTCCCGCCGCAGTAACTTGTTGTTCTCAAACAGTCCTTCATTGCGGGGTATTCCATGAGAACCATCAGGGAAAGTTAGCAGGCCTTTGAGGAGAACAGAGAAAATATGACAGTGGCATTAATGTCTCAGAGATCAGCTTGATGTGGTGGACAGAGAAGAAAAAACCTCACAACTCTATTTAGGAGTATTCTACTGGGGAGTTCAATGGATAAGTAGACATGAGAATTAAAACTGAAAGGCCTATTTCCACCTCACCTAAGTTACCACTCTGCTGGGCTGAAACTTACCAAAACCATCTACTCTGCCATTTTTAAATTCCCCCTCAAAGGTCATGTTGTCGTGTCGAATGAAGACTCCAACGCCATTAAACTTGCCCTGGGCAAACTCTCCCTCATACCTGCAGAGACACCAAGACGTTAGCCTTTCGTGGGCCAGTTAGCTGTCTAGGCTAAATGTTAGAAATAATGTCGAGGAGCAAAGCTGAGTCTGCTTGGCTCAGAGCTCCATCCACCCCACCACCCCCTTCCCAATCAGCAAAGAAGGTGCAGAGAGTATGCATGATACAAGGCCCTAATCCCAAGGAAAGAACATAAGCGAATGAAGGTGGGGTAAAGGGCCACTCACCTTGACATTTCCAATTCTAAACCTTCCTAAAAAATAAGCAGTAAGAAAAAACTGTTTACTCCTTGTCTGTTTTCTGCACGGCCTGGGACAAGCTCATGATTGACCACATATTCATCAATGGCTCAATTTTATATTCGAGCCTCTGTAGTTTAAAAGCTAAGAAAGGAATGGCCTAGCACTCACCTTGAGCCATCTGAGAAGGTCAGTACCCCAAAGCCATTAAAGAGTCCATTCTCAAAGTGACCTAGGTAGGTGCCACCATCTGCAAACATCAGTTGACCAAAACCATGTCTGCGGCCTGAGAACAGAAGGACAGGAGTCAGGTTGGAATGGGCAACTTCATGGTCCATTCTTATTCCTAGCATCCCACACTTTCCATCACTCTACCCACAAAAGAAAAGAAGCGGTGTGGTAGCAGGGCAGTCAGGCTCCAGGAAAACTTGGCTCCTGGAATGCCCTTCTTAGATCTGGAGCAGGTCTCTCCAAGTATGAGTGATAAGAGAGCTCTTCAATAACAACAGCTAACATTGGTAGTGCCTTTACTATGTGCAGCCATTCTTCTAAACACTTTGTGTTTATCATACTTAATGTCCATGATAATTTTATGAGGCAGGCACAGTACTATTATTATCATTAAACAGATGGGGAAATTGAGGCAAGGAAAAGCTAAATAACTTATTCAAAATCCCAGAGCTCTAAATGGTAGAGAGAAAATGCAAATGTAGCAGAGGCAGCCTGTCTTGTCAGCCCTGCTTACCTTTACCTATATTGCCTCGCTAAGCAAAAACAAAAGTACCCTTTAGTATTATGAAGCTACAAGGCAGACCTAACAGGCTGCCTGGCAGGACTGGTTTGAGGTCTGTAACTTGGGCTGTGCTTACTTACTGACCTGACCAGAAAACTGAGCAGATGCGGGGAGCCATCCTGCCCTTCATCACAGTGTGTAAGCATTCTTTTGGTGGGTAGACTGCGCAGCAGAGTGTCAGGATGCCTCTCCTCTAAAAAGGTCATGATAGAGGACAGCAGGTGTTTGTGGGGACAGGAGAAAAGGCTTGGAATGGAAGGAGTTAAGATCACAACAGCACAATTTCTCAGGCTCAAGAGTTTATCAGCTGGTTGAAGTGGCTCATGCTTGTAATTCCAGCTACTAGGGAGGCAAAGATTGTAAGGATTGCAGTTTGAGGCCAGGCCAGGCAAAAAGTTAATGAGATTCCCACCTCAATCCGAAAACCAGGTGTGGTGGCTTGTGCCTGTGATCCCAGCTACTCGGGAGGCAATAGATAGGAGGATCAAGGTCTGAGGTTGGCCCTCAGCAAAAACACAAGACCCTAACCTAACAGCAAAATAGGGTTAAGGGGTATGGTTCAAGTGGTAGAATGCCTGCCTAGCAAGCACAAGGACCTAATACTGTCAAAAAAAAATTTTTATCAGCTACAGGAATGTGAAAAGAAGAACAAGACACAGGCCTGGTTACAGTGCTAACTGCCCTTCATCTGTGCCAGTACATAAATGAAAGGCCAGTCTCCTGGGAGCAGTTCCAGGTTTGCTAGGATTGGACCCATGGGACTTTCAAGTGGCCAGGTTGTGGTTCCAAACTGAACATCATTAAACTGCTTCCTATATAGTGTCAGGCTCCCAAGAATTTTACTATTCCTATGAATAGATACTCCAAATATAATGAGCTGTCACAGAAAACTCAAGGCAATGAATGTCATTTCCTCTTAAGTGTCTGCCCTAATTTCCACATCTTCCTTCTTAAGACTGACTGCAACCAAGTCATTGCAATGAATTCTGTACTAATTTATAGGCACTTAAAATAATTCATTCTGATCTGCACTTACTTAAGAAATTCCCAAGTAACACAACTAAAGGATGAAAGGATGTTAAAACACTGCAAATCTGGAAGAGGAAAGATTTAGATCATTTCTGGTGACTGGATTAATAATAGCATTTTCTAATTCCTTTATTTAACCCTAAAATAGAATAAAGGAAAGGTACTATATGGAATTAAGTCCTGGAGTGGAATGAAGATCCAGTAAGTTGGCTGTCTATCCTGATATATTTTTCCTTCAGTCAAATGAAGTGTTCATCACTGGATTACCCACCCCCAGGAGTCCTTCTCACCCTCCTTCCACTCGCCACGATATTCCTCCCCACTGGAGTAGGTGAAGGAACCTTTTGTCAGGGTCATGTTGACAGCTTACAGAAGAAAAGGGTAAAAACTGTAGGACATAAACAGAGGAGAACCAGTGTCATGAGGTAGCTGGAGGAATGAACTACAAAGCAATCCTGCAGATATACTGTAAAGGCTGCCAGCCTGGTAAGTACATACTACCTTGGGTACATTTAACAAAAACACCCCCCTCTCTAACAACTACTACTACCACCACCACCACCGGCTCACCAAACACTGTTATCTCCTACATGTCTTAAAGGTTTTCAGCCAGTTCCTATGTTTATGACCTGGGATGGAAATGGAGGCTTAACCTGTAATGCTACTATGTGCTTAGTCAATATATAAAACATAGTGTTTTCCTCAATGAAGTTATAATTTAGTTCATAATACCAGTAATTGAAATACTGAATTATACCAGAGACAATGTAATTAGGACAAACTTGGGTGGTGGAAATTAACAAAGATACAGGATGGGCAGAACTTAAAACAAGCAGTGAAGAAAGCAAAGAGTAATTCCCAACTGAGAAAACAGAATGAAAACACAAAGAAAAATGTAAACATGGGATATTCAATGGGAAAATAAGAAGCCTGGACTACAATTGAGGGTTTATTTAGGTACACTAAACCGAAATCTTAAATCTGGTGTGTTGTTTTTTCCTGTAACATATCAGTCATTCTGCTCCCATAAAGCTGTATCCCCCTAGACCACCTGCTTATACCTGGATATAGTATTTGGCTTTTGTTGGGTAATAACACACCACCCTAAAACACAGTGGCTTGAAACAACTATTTACCCTGCATACTGTGAGTTATTAGTTTGGGGCTGGGCTCAGAAGGGCAGCTCTTTTGGTCTTGCCTGAGTTCATTCGTGCATTTGTGGTCAGCTGGGACGGCTGATTCACATGGCCTCACTGTTCAGCAGAGTAATCGGAACTCTTTCACATGGGGCAGAACAAGTTCAAGTTGAGCAAGATGGCACAAAGCTCTGCTTTATCACCGTTGCTGACGCTCCGTTAGGCAGGGCTATGCACATAGCCAACTCAGATCCAATGGGTGGAGGAATAAACCATCCACTGGGGGAATAATCCTCCCTCTTTGTGGAGAGGATTCTTAAATCCTTGTGGACCTGGTGCCAATGGCTAGCTTCCTTTTTTCTTCAAGTCCCAGAGAAGCTGAAACCACATCCAATGTTAAGGGTGTTATTGTCAGAGTTTTATTGATCACTTACTGTACACCCTAAGTGTTTTAAAAATACATTATCTAATTTCATCTCATGATGAAGTGGGTATTATTATTTCTGCTTTACAAATGAGGGAATTAAGGTACAGAGAAGATAAGTAAATCACCCAGCTAATACGTAAAAGTTAGACTCAGAAGCTTGTCAGCTGGCCTCTAAAATCCATGCTCTTAGCCACTAATTTATCCTGTTATCCTACCAGTACAATATAGTGATATTGTGGACTCTAACAGCAGAAAGAACGAGCTCAAATCCTAGTTCCTATAAATGTGGGCAAGTTATTTAAGCATTCTAAATCTCAGTCTCCTTGTCTAGAAAGTGGAGATAATAAGCCTATTTCAGAGTTGGCAGGTGAAATAAAATAACATACATGAATGCTTGGCCCTGCCCACTAAATGTTGGATTCTTTTTCATCCTTCAAAGAGATACCTCAACTCATGCATTTATTTACTGTAACAAAAATTTCTCTTTGGGATGGCATGTGGCTCAAGTGGTAAGAGCACCTGCCTAGCAAGCAAGAGGCCCTGAGTTCAAACCCCTTTGCTGCCAAAAAAAAGAGATGTGTTTAACAAATATAAGTCTCTGAGTTCAAATCCCAGTATCACCTACAAACAAAATAACAAAAGAAATTTCTCTAAATATTTTGTTCAGTATAAAAATGCTAACATAATTCAAATTAGATTTAGAAATAGAGCAATTCAGCAAATTTGACAAATGAGGTAAATACTAAGAAAAAAAAATAAGCTACAGTTGCCACCCATCTGTTCTTTATCAATATCTTCTGGGATATGTTAACTTTGGACATTTTTTATAATGATACTGAAAGCCCAGAAATGGTCCCACGTGACAATAGCCTGGTCTTACCAGAGCAGGATCAGTCACAACTTCTAGGTTCTGGTACTGTCCTCAGATCTTGTTTCAGACACAAGGGAAGATGAGTCCTGAGAACCCCTGTGCTCTCACCCAAATACAGAGTAACATTTTCTAGCTCCATAATGAAACCCAGCTTTGACATGTTTGGGGTCATTCTTATGGGATTTTCTCACTTCTCCAGTTATCAGTCAGCAACTCCATGTCTAGGACCTCTCACATTAGGTAACATATCTCTAGACAAGGACCATTTTTTTTTTTTTTTTGCATACTGCAGTCCTCCAAACATCTGGGGCTACCTGCTGTTCCCTTTCTGTCCTATCAATGTCCCATAGGGTCAGCATCCAATTTCAGGCTCACAAGTCTCTTATCATCAGCCTGGCATCAGAGTGTGCTGGGGTAGAAGTCAACCAGACTGTATTGCAAATACAACATTAATGAGAGGAAGAGAAGCAGTTTTCCATCAGAATTGCGGAGGAAAACTACTTCCAGTCCAGCTAGGTGTTGTGTAGCTTCAGGCAATCTTCAGCTTTTCCCAGAACTAATTAAGTCACAGCAGCAAGTCAACTGATGGTACAAATTAGAAATATTTCATCCCTTCAAAACACATCCATCGGAATCTGAAGAGCTATATCTTTCACTAAATCTCATAGCTAAGACTACCTTATGACTAAATCTGTAGGAAGATTGTAGGACAAAGGCTTTTCCATTAACTGTTTGGCTGCAGTTAGCCAATTTATTTTCACTCAAAATTTGGAGAGAGTTGCTGCAATAGGATAAGAGTCACAGTGGCAGGGGGAAGGGGGGAGAAATGACCCAAACATTGTATGCACATAAAAAAAAAAAGTCACAGTGCATACACAGGCACTCAGAGGAAACATGCCCTTAGACCTATTTACTTTTCCTAAAGGCCACATGAAACTTCCCATCCTGTTCAAGAGGACTAATAGAAGGTTCCTAAAAAAAGAAAGGTTTCTCTAGTTTGAGGATTATTTATGTACATGTACAAGCCATGCCCTTAAATTGTAAATTTAATTACTTTTGTGGTATGCTGTCAGTTCTTGGACCTATATCTTAAATATTTTAAGAAAATCAATGAAACTTGAAAGGCCATCTTTCGAGACCCAGGCTGGCCCCAAACTCTCATTCCTCCAGCCTCTACCCCAGTACTGGGATTCCAAACATGAACCACCATGTCCAGTGAAAAGCTATCTTCTTATTACCAAAAGTGACAGACTGTTTTTTCTAAATATGTTGGCAATAATATCTCCTGTCTTAAATGTTCTTCTACAATCTGACCTTGCTAGGTAGTCCAATTCCTCTCCTTCAAATCTAAACAGGCTCGTGAATGCTTAATGCAGTACAGCTGGATGGAAGTGAACGGTGTTCTGAGGCTTTATCTGCAAGGTGATACAACTTGTACACTTGCTCACTACTACAAGCACATTTGGAGACTCAAGTCACCATATAAGTAGTCCCACTACCAGAGTTTTCCAGGCAGATGAAGCCAAGCCAGATAGAGAGCTCATATGTTGTTGCCCCAGTTGGCCATCCTCATCTTTGAGTGATCCCAGTTCAGGCATTCAGCGAAGGAGCCTTTAAATGACTCCAGCTCAGATACTGTGGAACTGAGAGAGGCCAACTCCATAGTGCCAGGTCCACACTCCTGATCCACAGACTATGAGCATTGTATGGTAGCTTTAAGCTGCTAGTTTTGGGGTAATTTGTTATATGGGAAGCAACAGTAACTGGAATTCCATCTTTCAACCCACCCCACCACTATTCTCTCCTACTTGTTTTCAAAAGTATATATTACAAATTTCCATTCCTTTTTGATGTAGGGAGAAATGGCAAATTCCCTTCCACAGCTGTTGGTTGAAATCATGTCCATTCCCGAGACCAAATCACAAGCGCTAATTAAAGGGAACATATGTAGAAGCCATGGGTTTGGAGCCATGATTGAAAACATTTAGCTAGAAACTGCTATATGTGTTCAAATAATTGATATTGTCACTGCCTGGGACAGTGTCTGAATTTTGATTTATAACTTTTGCATTAGCCCTGCTAATTAATAGTCAATTGCAAGCCACTATGCAAAAAAGGAATTTCACCAATAACCATGGTCACTGAGAAAAACTAGTACAATACAGAATAGTGAGTGCTAATGAAGAAAGGAAAGCCTAACACTTTAATAAGAGATGCAAATCAGTATTTGTATTAGGTATTCAAATAATCTTGTTAAGGAGAATAGATGGCCTACGGGTTTGGCTCCAGGTTGATACGTGGAATCTAATCACAAACCAAGATGATTCACACTTCTACTGGCACTCACCCTTTCCAAACTCTTGGTAGTTTCAAAGGATCAGTCTAAACATTTACCTAAAGGAAAATTACTACTTTGTCTCTGTAAACCAGAACACTATTACTCTGCACAACAGACCACATCCTTGCTATCTTTATTTTCTTCTGCCTTCCAACAGTTCCAAATAGAACTGAGCCAGTAATGAGAATTTTTGTTTTCATTGTTTGTCTTAAGTTTTTAAATCAAGTTTACTAAAGTACATTTATGCATTCACAATAACTTGTGTCTAAATTAAGAGAATTAAAAACAATCTAACATAAAAGGGAATAGATTTTCGGTTAGAGGCTATTGTTTGGAGGCAGCCACTTTAACTATTCACATACATCTTCAAATTGTCCCCTAAAGTGACCTTTCCTAGAATATGACAAGTCTTACAAAAATTCTTTCAGGCTGAGCACTAGTGGCTCATACTGTAATCCTAGCAACTCAGGAAGAAGAGATGAACCGGATCTCGGTTTGAGGCTAGCCCAGGGAAATAGTTCTAGAAATCCTATCTTGAAAATACCCAACACTAAAAAGAGCTAGAAGAGTGGCTCAAGTAGTAGAGTGTAGGCTCAGCAAGTGTGAGGCTCTGAGTTCAAACTCCAGTACCACCACCACCACCAAAAAAAATCAGTTATAAAGAAAGCACTTGGAGGCTTTGGGTCCTAAAGAGAGGAAAATGAAGCCTCTGATGAACAAAGATTAAGCTTCTCAGGAAACTAGGAGGGAGAGTCGAATCTTATTTTTAAAACATTTTTAAATGAGCGTGACAGTTTTTTTTTTATCTGCTCGCCACCTCTCCCATGCTGAGGATCAAATAATTAGGGCTTTAAAATTATAATGCTAATCCTCCTTCACTTCATTTGAAACCTAAACAAGTATATGGCACCATATAAAGGTCTTATTCAGGAAGACTGTGGGGTGGTTCAATTGAAGAAGATGGGAAGAAAACATAGGTATCAGAAAGATTAAAACAGACACACACACACACACACAAAGACGACTTGGGAGTGATGGGACTAGGGAGCAACACTGGGAACACTGCATCAAGGAAAAGAACGCCCTCCCGGGCCGGTTCTAGTACAGCGGAGTTACTCCTGCTGGTACCTAAGCAGCTCAGAGATGCTGGGCTGTAGGGATACCATCCATCAAGTAATTGAGGCATCCCATTCCCCACGCCTCGGTAGGGACTTTTCTCCACCGAGTGGCAGAGACGGCCCCAAAACAAACAAAGCCCTAGACTTCCACCGGGCACCCCAGCCCCGCTCCCTCCCTCGACCGGCACAGCTTTCCCGCCGCTGCTCCTCTGCTCACACGGTCGGCCCCTTCGGACCCCAGACGCAGCACCGCCCCCCGCCCCGTCTCTATCGAAGCGGTGGGCTCTCCCGCTGTCGGAACTCGAAGTCCAGGTTCGGGACTCCCATCGACAGCTGCCTTCAGATCCGCGCGTCAGGGATGGAGCCCAAGCCGTCTACTCTCCCCTCCCAGGCTTGACCACACTCTCTCGGCCCCCTCCCCCCTGCGCCGTCAACCAACCTGGGCTCGGCCTTTCGGGACGACCGTCACGCCCAGACGCGGGACTCAGGCGGCCGGGACCTTTGCTCCACCCGGCGCCCCACTGCCACTTCCTCTCCGCCACCTCCACTAGCGCCTGCCCCACTGGATGCCGCCATCCCGAGCGGCCGCACTGAGCACAATTCCCGCTGCCCATTGGCTGTTACCTAGACAACGGGGAACAACGCCACTCCCCATTGGCCCATCCCGCTTCCGCGCCATCTTTGTGCGGGGCGGAGTGTTTCGAGCACCCAGGCTGAATATCTGAAAGTGGGTGGGGCTGTGCCTGGGGTCCCATATCAGCAACCGCTATTGAGATAGAGGACTCAGCTCTCGCCTACCAAGATGCGGCCCAGCAGAAATATTAACCCCAACTAAAACCAAACATGTCTCCGAAGCATCTCTGACCACCAGCCCAAGCCGCCCCGATCCTTAACACTTGCAAATGGCCCCTCCGTAGACTTTGAGGATACAACCTAAATCCGGTGTTACAGGTACAACTTTGCAATTTGTAACGCGCTAGACAGGGCAACTGTCCTTTAATAACCCAGTGCCAGGCACTACAATGTTAAGACACTTTCGCATTCATTCTAGGGATTTGTGTTGTCGTTACCCAGATCCTTTGTGTTTAAAGTATAGTGCCAAGATTGGAGCAATCTCCCCACACACTATGCACACTACTCCGTGTGTCCATATGTTTTTTTTTTTAACTGAACTGTGTGATTGCAGCATGATGCTAGATTTCTGTGACGTTTAAAAAGCCATGATCGCTTGTTTCGTGGGACTTGTCTTACATGTGCGTGGAAGAAATCTAAGGCTCTCTTATTAGGAGAAGACAAGTACATGGAGAGAGTACGCAAATCACTTCAGATTGCTTTTCTGGATTGGGGTTTCTTCAACTGTAGACTAGAAAATTATAATGATAGCAACAGCAACAATAATAATAACAATAATAATAAAGGCTCAGCCAGGCTCCGGTGGCTCACGCCTGTAATCCTACCTACTCATGGGCCAGAGATCAGAAGGATCGTGATCTGGAAGCCAGCCCAAGCAAATAGTTAGCAAGACCCTATCTCAAAAAAACCCATCACAAAAAAGGGTTGGTGGAGTGACTCAAGGTGTAGGCCTTGAGTTCAAACCCTAGTTCCGAAAAAAACATAACATAACATAATAATAAAGATTCCCCAGTGTTACCTAAAAGCCAACCAAAAATGTTACCGAAAGTCAGCACAGCTATCTACCTGGGTCCTTGCTTCCTGCAAGAGAAAAAAAGTTTGTTAGGAAAGGAATACACTTTCAATACACTGAAGGCAGGACATCTCTAGATGAGAATGAAAATGGCTTTGCCACTGTAAAGCAGTCACTCTACAGCTAGAGCCACACCTACCTAGGATTACAGGTGAGAGCCACAGCACTTGGCAGTATCAGTATTATTTATTACTTTTTAAAAAAAATTATTATAATTACTATTATTTTGTTGGTACTGGGTTTGAACTCAGGGTCTTGTACTAGCTAGGTAGGTGCTCTACCACCACACCTCCAGCTCTAGCATCAACATTGATTGAGGTGGGTCTCAGAGCATTAAGTTCCTCCCCAGGCCACAAGGCTAGAATAGGTCTACAGATTTACAATTACTAACCATTATAGAGTTCACCTGACCCTTAAGATACGGTTTACAAGCCTGGGCTTTTGTTTTGTTAAGTAAAAGATCTATTGTGTGAGGAACTTATGTTGACCCACCTGAGGGTAGGTGACTCAAAAACATCTGTGACATCCCATGACATTGGTGGGCTATTTTGATCCTAACAAGGGCTTTTAAGTATTTTTCTCTAAGGGACCTTGAAGAATCCTCCATTATAGGTTTCCTTTGCATGTTCCTATGGCTAATGGCTAACTGCTGCCTAAAACCCAGGACTTGTAAGTGTGAAGTCTTGAGTTCAAAACCTAGTCCTGCCCCCCCTCAAAAAAGGAAATTTATCTGGAAGTGATACCCAGAGATGATGATTGTTTGAAGAGCGGCACAGAAGGACAGGCAGGAGGCAGCTCAACATCAGCATAGGCTTCATTCGGGAAAGAGAGCCTGTGGAGGGGGTCTTCCAGCAAGAAAGCTAGAGCCCACTGCTGCATATAGGCTTGGGGGAGATACAGGGGGAGCTGGTGGAAAAGTACCAGGAAGGTCACTGGTTGGGAACATTTTCTTGTGGGTCACTAAGGAATGCTGTTGCTGGGCAACCAAGGAAGATAAGTTGTGGTGAGGTCACTCATCTGTTCAACTGTCCTTGGCACCCACCTGGAGGTAAAGGTTAACAACTATCTCTTTGTCAGTCTTTGGTGTTGGGTGGGGAGTTTCCAGAAAGCCACCTGCTAAGGGGAGGGAGTCTGATCCTAACATGGCTGCCTTTACTGTTCACCCTAACAATGATGATGGTTATAATGATGCTGATGAGGAGGAAAAGCAGAGAAAGATTGGAGGTAGAGAAACTCAGAAAACATTGTAAATTATAACAATTTAAGCCATCCTAAAAGTTTCAACATTAAAGTGGCATCAGTAGGAATGGAAAGAAAGTGAACAGGAAGCATATTTCATAGGGCAATTTAACAAGAAGCTCTACTATCTGTCTGTCTATCTATTATAGTGGTAGTGGGTTTTGAGCTTAGGGCAAGGTAAGTGCTCTACCATTTGAGCACACTTCAGCCCTTTTTGGTTTTTAGTTTATTTTTTCAGGTAGGTCTTACATTTTTGCCTGGGGTCTGCCTCAAACTGCAATCCACCTGCCTACACCTGTCATGGAGCTGAGATTATAGATGTGAACCACCACACCTAGTTTGTTTAGTTAAGATAAGGTTTTACTTTTGCTCAGGTTGATCTCAAACTGTGATCCTCCCAATCTCTGCCTCTCGAATAGCTGGGATTATAGCTATGAGCCACCATGCCTGGCAAGAAGCAATATTCTGTACTGTTAAAAGCATGGAGCCAGTCTGTGTAGGTTTGAATCCAGCTCTGCCACTTACCAGCCAAGTGACCATGGGCAAGTTATTTTTTTTTTCATCGCCTCAGTTTCCAGCATCATAGGGGTTATAATGGCAGTTATGAGTCAATCCATGCATGCAATGCACTTAAAACCTAGTCCATACTTAGCATTTGGTAAGTGCTAGCTTTTTGTATGTAGTTGGCAATATTTTGGCACTATTTTCAGTAAAAGGGAAATCAAGTTCTTTTAAAAGGCAAATACAGAAATAAATTCTGAGAGGGCTTCCTTAAAGAAAAACTCAGAATTCCATGGAGAATTCTAAATCTGGGACCATAATTTGAAGCTTATGGGCTAAATGAGAATGAATGATAGCAAGAGATCATTTTTGTGGCTATGGCTCCTGGGAGACAAGAGGCAGGCATCCCTCAATTATTTGATGTCTGGCCAGGAAAAGGAAATTAATTAACTGTGATTGAATGGAGCAATGGAACCCTATATGAATCTTTGCCTAGAATGCTTTATTTTATTTTTGGTTATGCTGGGGAGCAAAACCAGGGTCTTGGGCACACTAGGCAAGCACTCTAACACTGAGCTACTTCCCCAGCCCTAGAATGGTTTATTGTTTAAGATATTCCCATACATGCAACTGGACAATAATTCTCAGTATTTCTACTGAGCTGTGGCAATACTTTGTCTCAAGAAAGAATGATTATGAAATATTGGTGACTTTGTGGCTGATCTTTTGTGAAAACTCATGTCTCTCATTTGTTGATCACTTCAAGCAGAAAAATAGAAACATGAACAATAACCTCAGCTGGGCGCAGGTGGTTTAGGCATATAATCCCAGCTACTCATGAGGATCAGGAGGATCCAGGTTTGAAGCCAGCATGGGCAAATCATTTGTGAGACCCTATCTTAAAAATACCCAACTCAAAAAAGGGCTAGAGGAGTGGTTCAAGTGGTAGAGTGCCTGCCTAGCAAGTGTGAAGCCCTGAGTTCAAACCCCAGGACTGCTAAAAAACCCAAAATAGCAAAACTATAATAACCTCAACAGTGTTACAAGGCTAATATTTGTTAGTGCTTTATTTTTAAACAGAGGACTAACAAATGAGTTTCTTTTTACGAACTAAGTGCCATAAGTGTTTACATACAGATAGATTTTTATTTAATTAAGTGAAGTAGGAATAATTGTTCCCATTGTATAGATGAGGGAACTGAGACTTGTCCAAAATAACTAATCATTGTAGAGCCAGGTTTCAAACTTGAGTGCCTCTGATTTCCAAGCCCGTGCTTCTAACCATTACATTCCACATTTCAGACGGCAGTATTAGGATAAATTTTAACTGAAACAGCATTCCATAGATTTAAACATGTAATTATTCCAATTATTTGTCCTTTTTCAGGTGTCATCTATATTCATCCCAGAATTACTTTCGGGTGCCAGGGTTTGGAGTTGGTCTACTCCACCTCCCTTCCCTGCTCATGACCTAAAGTTCCCTGTGGCCTTTCCCATGCCTGGAGGCCTCTCTGCTTGGCTCCCTAGGTCCTTGGAAGCCCATTTTAATCCTGCTTCCCCTCAGCTAAGCAGGCTGTTATTTTCCACAGGCTGTAACCCTCCTCTTCCTTCCCTACAGCAACTCTCTGTGCACCTTTACCCCCCTCTCTTTTTCTCCTTCTCCTGCTCCTTGGTGACTTAATACACATTTCTTTAGAACTTAGCTCCTGGCACAGGCTCTGCATACAGCTTTTGCTGACTCTCCAGCTTACTCCCAAATCAGTGAACTATTTTAATGGAGTTTCAACTAGCATCGTTGGCTCTTTTCCTTACAGTCTCAGATAGCTGGCAAGGGCTGTATCTTCCCTTTTCCACTAATAAAAATGTGCTCAGCACCTACTGTGTCTAGACACAGAGAATTTACAATGGAGAGTAAAGCTTTACTTAACTAACAAACATTAAGCATTAGATCAGGCACTCTGTAAATTGCATGGGGCCTTGGGCTGGGATTTTTGTGTGTGTGAGACTGGCGTTTGAACTCAGTTTTCGCGCATGCAAAGCAGGTGCTCTACTGTTTGAGCCACACTTCCAGTCCATTTTGCTCTATTTTTGGAGATGGTGGTCTATAAGAACTATTTGCCCGGGCTGGCTTCCAACTGCGATCCTCCAGATCTCAGCCTCCCAAGTAGCTAGGATCATAAGTGTGAGTCACGGCTTCTGTCTGAGGGCTGGGATTGTTTAACGCTTTTAATTGAAGTAGCACAGGGAGAGCTGTTTCTTTGCTTCACTGCTGTCTCTCCACCACTTAGAACTTAGTAGGGGCTCAATTAATGATACAAAGTGACTTTTTTTTTCAAAGTCTCACAGCCAGTTCATAGTAGGCACTCAAGTTGTGACTAATACTTAAATTGCTGTTATGAAAAAGCCCAAAACCCGGTCAGCCAATTGGAAGCTAAGGGCGGGGCTGGACGGTAGAGGGCAGAGGGCGTGATTGACCCGAGTTTTTAGCTTCTTGAGCATGCGCAATCTTCATAGAAAGTGACTGGAGAAAAATGCGGAGGCATCGATTGCGTAGGAGCAGGTTCTGATTGGCCACTGTGCGCGCCCGAGGGGCCGTGCCTACTCGTCGCCAAGTAAACAGGGTAGGCTAGGGGCGGGGCCACGGAAGCCCCGCGACCTGGTTGGCCGGGCGCGAGGTGGGGGGTGCCGCGGATTGGTGGTAGCTGCGAGCTCGGCTGTGTGCTGCGCGCCGGGTCTGGAGCCGGCGGTCTGAGGGATGGACGAGAAGAGCCCTTAATGTCCCCCGAGAGGGTCCAACCCCCGGAGTACACCTTCCCATCGGGCTCTGGCACTCACTATTCGCAGGTGCCGGGGGGCGCGGTCCGCGTGGCGGTGGCGGCCGGCTCGGGCCCCTCTCCGCCAGGCTCGCCGGGCCACGATCGAGAGCGGCAGCCCCTGCTGGACCGGGCCCGGGGCGCGGCGGCCCAGAGCCAGACCCACACGGTGGCGGCACAGGCCCAAGCCCAGGCCGCGGTGGCGGCGCACACCGCGCAGGCCCACCGCGAGCGGAACGAGTTCCCGGAGGACCCCGAGTTCGAGGCGGTGGTGCGGCAGGCCGAGCTGGCCACCGAGCGCGGCATCTTCCCCGAGCGCATCTACCAGGGCTCCAGCGGAAGCTACTTCGTCAAGGACCCTCAGGGGGTGAGAGCGGGGCGGGGGCCGGCGGCGAGGAGGGGACCCGAAAGGCTGCAAAAGGGAGAAACTTCACAGCGCCATTGCCTAGCGGGATTTTGGGATGCCTTTGAGAACTGGGGACCGGAAGCTCTACGGAATGAAGAAATAAATCAGAACCTTTTTGGTGGGGGAGGCGTGAGCGGAAAGTGAAAAGAGGAAATTGACCAGATACAGGCCAGGGCCTGTGGGGGACAGAGAGGTGCAGGTAGATGCTGCTTTAGGTTCCTTACTGCTGTTCGGCCGTGGGCCCACAGGTCTGGGGCTTTGGGTCTGTTCTCTTTTCGGACCCAAGTAGTGTGCGCTGTTCTGGAGAATAGGCGACCTATCGGGGGTCCTGAGGTTTCTGTTCCAGTCTCCCGCCATGATCTGAGGTTTCTTGTTGACAGTCGTTGGAGAGAGCGTGGGTAGCCTCACCGGTTTCAGCTGCCCTGATTATTGCTCGCTTTTGGAAAGAGGCTCACAGCATTTTCCGCCGTTCCTCCGTTTACAATGTGGAGTTTTAAGAGCACGGGACTGACAGTCCGCTATCTTTCGCTTTCTCTTCTTTCCCAGGACTATCAGCAATTTACTTATCAGCTAAGGCAGAGTTTTGCTGACTTTTATTCTGTCCCCTGTATGTGGATAAAGGGGAATGGGGCATGGGGTGACCAGGGCAGCTGAGAAGTGACCTTTATCCTTTTTTGTATTTTCTTTTTTGGTACTGGGGTTTGAACTCAGGGTCTACACCTTGAGCCACTCCACCAGCCCTTTTTTTGTGATGGGTTTTTGGGGGATAGGTCTCGAACTAGTTGGTGGGGCTGCCTTGGAACCACGATCCTCCTGCTCTCTGCCCCGCGAGTAGCTAGGCGTGAGCCACCAGCGCCTGGCATGTCCTTTTCAAATTTCAGAACTTAAGGCATTTGATTTAGGTCAAGCCATAGATATCATCAAAAGAATAGGGAGTCAAGAACTATCAAATCTTCTAGATGTGCCAGATGTGTTCATTGGGAAAATGTATTGTTACGCCTATTAAACGATGGGTGTCAAAGCTCTCTCACAATCTCCCTGGCAGCTCTCTTGTATGGATCCTTTAGATGGGCAGTGAGCTGTTTTGATGAGAGTCTGAGTGGCCAGGATGGGTTGTGACTTGTACTTGGTCAGGTTCTTTGAATAATTCAGTTATTCATCCAGAGTCATCCCTGAGTTATCAAGAATCAGAGCAGTTCTGTTGTCAACTTTGTTTAAGTAGATGGAGTTGGGGAAAAGCTATTAGGGTAATAATTCTAAGGCCCTTAAATGAGGGAAACTCCACTGGGAACCCTTATTTCTAGAAGCAAAGAAAGGTAAATGTCCTGGGGACCTAAATGTCAGCAAGAGTTGGGAATGTGGCTCAGTTGTAGCATGCACAAGGCCCCCATGTTCAGTTCCCAGCACACACACACACACACACACACACACACACACACTCACACACAAGTCAGCAAGATGCTGACTCAAAAAGTCATTTTTTTGAGAACAGAATAAGATTTAAGATAGGAGTTTGTTGGGGCAGGGACTAGTGTGTTGGCTGATGTGAGGATGGGCTAAAGATTGTCTTTGATAGATACAGGAGAAGAAAGAAGAATTTTTTTTTTCCATGACATTGTAAACAACTCTCTGGGAAGTATGTCAGGTCAGCTGAGAAGTGATCTGGTACTCTGAGAGGTGGAAGTAATAAGATCTCTAAATTCTGTCTGGCAGGTAAAGTACTATCTTCTCAGTACATACACAAAGAAGGACAGACCATAGGTATGTTTCTTGGTGGTATTCAGGATCTCTAGAATTTCTAGGTCACTATTCTTTGTTAGAGGTGAAATCAACACACACAGAAGCCAAGTCAAAACTTAATTGAGCTGGAAGCATAGCTTAAGTGGTAGAGCACCTTCCTAGCAAGTGGAGACCCTGAGTTCAAGCAGCACTGCTGCCAAAAAAAAGAAAGGAAACTTATTAATGTAACCATTTTGCTCCTGCTGAGGAAAATGTGGTTTAAAGCAAAGGACCACTTCCTAAACTGCTGTGGAGAGTTAGACTGGTCCACAGACTCACTGTAGTTTTTTCTTTTTTTTTTTTTTGTGGTAGTGAGGTTTGAATTCAGAGTCTACACCTTGAGCCACTCCACCAGCCCTTTTTTTGTGATGAGTTTTTAGGGATAGCGGGGCTGCCTTCAAACCGAGATCCTCCTGTTCTCTAACCCCTGAGTAGCTAGGATTACAGGTGTGAGCCACCAGCACCCGGAGGCACTGTCACTTTTGACCCTGCTCCAAATGCATTTTATTTAACAGATATTTCCATATATGCTAAATATTTATTTATTTTTTTTTTTAGTGATACTTTCATGCTTGCTATGCAGGTGCTCTACCAGTTGAGTCACTCCACCAGCTCTATTTTGTGAAGGTTTTTTTCCAGATAGGGTCTGGAGAACTATTTGCTGGGCTGACTTTGGGGAGAGGGTTTTTTTTTTGTCTTTTCTTTTTTGATGCCGGGATTGAACCCAGGGCCTCACGCATGCTAGGCAAGCACTGTACCACCGAGCTACATCCCAGCCCTGCTGGGCTGACTTTGAACAGTTATCCTCCTGATCTCTGCCTCCCAAGTACCTAGGATTACAAGTGTGAGCCACCGGCCCAGCCTAAGTACTGTTTTAAGTGCTTTACAATAGTAACTCATTTAATCCTCATAATGATCCCAGAGATGGCTACCATTATTATTCCTGTAGGTGACAAGAGCGAGGCACATAGTATAACTAATCTGCCCAAGGTTTCTCAGCTAGGAAGTGATAGAGACAAGCATATTGAGGTGGAGGACATTCTCCTAACCAGTGCTCTTTTGCCTCAGAGTTAGTCATCTAAATTTCTGGTTTCTCTTCAGCTACTATTTGGTTGCTATTGAACTTGGCTGTGTGTGACTAGATATTTTGAGATGATAATGACTTGATAAAAGGCTCATTTCACTCATGTAAAGAAAAGTCTACAGACTGCTCAAGGCTGGTATGGGATTTCACTTCATCCAGAATTCAGCAATGCTTAGTGTGTGGCTTCTACTTCATACTTCAAGATGACTGCTCAGGCTGCAGACAAGATGTCTGCCTGTCATCCACTTGGAAGAAGAAGAGAATATGTCACCACCCTTAGGGCCTTTTCTAGAAGTTGCACCATACTCTTCTGCCTACATTTCATTGTCTAGAACACAGCTACAGTAGGGACTAGGAACTATAATCTTTATCTTGCCTAACTAAAAATCAGGAGTCTTGTGTTTGTGGAAGAAGAGGAAACAGAGTAGGGGAACTGATAGTTTCTTTTTTTTTTTTTGCAGTGCTGGAGTTTGAACTTAAGGCCTATACCTTGAGCCACTCCACTAGCCCTTTTTTGTGATGGGTTTTTTTGATAGGGTCTCTCGAACTATTTGCCCAGGGTTGGCTTCTAACCTCCATCCTCCTGATCTCTGCTTCCTGAGTAGCTAGGATCACAGGCGTGAGCCACTGGCACCTGACTGAGCTGGTCATTTCTATGATAGCTGTTTTTGAAACTAATTCTGAAAGATTCTTAAAAGATGACAGCCCCAATTCCATTTCCCAATTTAGGATGGTTTCTGCCACAGGAGTGATGAGGACCTGAAATAGTAAGATGGAAAATGCTAGATTAGAAGTCGTGATGGAGCATGTTCATGTTACCCTCCTCACTTACATCCTGTGGTTCAGGTCTCATGTTCACTCAACTACTAGTGTTTTGTTTTTTTGTGGTGCTGCGATTTGAACTCAGGGCTCTTAATAGGCAGGTACTCCACCACTTGAGCCACACCCACAGTTCTTTTTGCTTTAGGTATTTTCCCAATTAGGGTCTTGAATTTATGCCTAGGCTGGCCTGGACCTCTATCCTCCTACTTATGCTACTTACAGCATCCTGAGTAGATGGGATGACAGGCGTGCACCACCATACCCAGCTTTTATTTTTTTGAGGTGGAGGGTCTCTTCGACTTTTTGACCAGGCAGGTCCTTTAACTTCAGTCCTCCTGATATGTGCCTTCTGAATAGCTAGGATTATAGGTGTGAGCTACTGTGCCTAGCTTCTGGTATGTTTTTTGAGTATTTTCTCTTTCATGTGGACAGTACCACATGATCATTTTGCTAAGTATCACAGAACAAGGCTGGCAGAGTTGCTCAAGTGGTAGAGCGCCTGCCTGGCAATCATGAGGCCCTGAGCTCAAACCCCAGGACTTCCAAGGAAAAAATAAATTACCGAACAACATGTGACTTACTAGTTTAAGAGGATTAAATAAGCTAGTACACATGAACGCCTCTGGCATAGTTCCTGGTGCTTAGCAGAAACTGTCAGTTTTTTGTTTAGTTCTGTTTTTAAGTTATATGTCTACAGACTTGGATTAGGCTTTCTTCAATATATGATATTGCATAAGACAGAAATAGCATAATTTTGAGATGACACTTTCATAATCATTGAGAATAGCAATTTACTAGGTAATGCTAATTGGTATTTGCATCAAAATACCAATTACAGTGTCTGTAAAGCACTGCTCACATGTTTAGGAACTTGGCTTCATATTGTGATTTTCAACCTTTTTTTTTTTTTTTTTGGTGGGATTGGGGTTTAAACTCAGGGCTTCACATTAACAAAGCAGGTACTATACCACTTGAGCCACATCTCCCATCCACTTTGCTCTCCTTGTGATCATTTTTTTTTCTTGGAGCACTGGGTCTTCTGTTTGCTTGGCCAGGACTCTTACCTCTTAAGCCACTCCACCAGCCCTACTTTGCTGTTGTTATTTTGGAGAAGGGGGCGGATCTCATGAATTATTTGCCTGGGCTGGCCTCCAACCACAATTTTCCAAGTAACTAGGATTACAAGAGTGAGCTACCAGGACTAGGCTAATTTTCAAACTTTTTTTTTTTTTTTTTTTGCAAGTAAAGTGAGAGAGTTTATTGAGATAGAAAAATA